ATTTAGAAAGTGCCTTTAGTCTTTGACGTAGATCAGCAATTTGGGCATCCTTTGATTCCTCAAATTATTGAGGCTGATGCATTGTTGAGCCACAAATGCTATCACAATGTTGGTCCATTGGCTCATTATGTTCTCCATCACTTTCCTTATTGTTTTCTTTTTGCTGTTTAGATTGAATGCCTTTATCTTCTTCTTCACTGTCTTCTTCTTTCTGTTCATTTTCTTCTTTTTCTTCTGCTTCGATTTTTTCACTTTCTTCTCTGGCTTGTACTTCTCCACTGCTTGCTTAATCTTCTTGTCCATTGCTGGCTTCGTGTTCTTCTATGTTGCCTTCTGCTTCTTTATTCCCTTCTTCTTCAGATGAATCTTGTAATGTCTCATTGAATTTGACAATTGCCTTTTTTTATTCTTTCTTCGTCTTTTTACCAAGACAGAACTTCTCTGATGGATTTTTGACTAGCTCTTTGTTATCTATTTATAACATGAGGCTCTTTTGTTAGAGAAATGTTACAAAATTCACTAAGAGAAAAAATTCAAATAAGGAAAATAAAATTCATCTAAATGATACTAATGGGAAACAAACTTCAAAGAAAATTGTATGGACTAGAGAAAATTGCAAACAAGGAGTTAATTTTATGAGGCAGAGAAAATTATGAAACAAGCAACATAATTTAGATATTAGAGAAAATCAATCAAGGCATAGAAGTTAATGTTTTACTATAATTGTGTCAGAGAAATTTGGATTCCAGAGAAAATTCATTAGAAGGGTAGAAATAAACAGTGTTAATCAAAGATGCAAGGCATATAAGTTATGGGCCAGAGAAAATTACACACAAGGAGAAACAATTTTATGGGTCAGAGAAAATTATGAAACAACCAACATAATTTAGATATTAGAGAAAATCAATCAGGGCATATAAGTTAATGTGCTACAATTGTGGTCAGAGAAATTTGGATTGCAGAGAAAATTGATTACAATGGCAGAAATAAACCAGTGGTAATCAAAAAAGAAACAAAAATTGATAGTTCAGAGAAAATTGATCTCAATCAATCAAGGCACAAGGAGGAAACAAACCAGTGGTCAGAGAAATTTTGAAATTTCACTGAGATTTCAGTGGCGATAGAAATCTAACCTGTCGAGGTGCAAGAGAGTGGACTGGTGTCTTCTGTAGCTGTTTCGTCAAGGTTTGCAGGTTCCACTTGGCACATCTTGGGAAGTCAGTTGTGTTACTGTCTTCCGAGTCAATGATATTTGCATGTTCACATAGCCAATACTATGATGAAAATTAAAGTAATTAAATTTTGTTAAACACACAAATTTGTAAGTATGATAACTGCAAATTTGAATGGATATTATACTTACCGGCAATGCAATGACACACCCCGTAACTTTTTCTGGAGTTTTTTGCAATGCTATGATAGAATCAATCAATGTTGATATGATTACTTCTGGCCAATCATGCCAATTCATTGATTCAAGAGGTTCCACATACTTTATAAAAACTCACCCTATTGAATTCCCACTTGTTGCAAAAAATAGGGTGAGATACAAGTATAATGTAACAATGATTGCTACATCTTTGAAGTCAGTTGGTTGCTTGCCTTTCATTACTTTGACCAAGGCATTTTTAAGAACAGGACCAGTGAGCCTTGTGTCATTTTGGAATCTTCTTCTTAGAAATGCAGATTTTGACTTTTTAGAGTATCTTAATGACATGGCTCCTTAACCTCATTGCAAACCAAAAATCAAGGTCATGTCATTGGTTGTAAAGGTCAAGTTCTTTTTACCAACTGTGAATGTTTTTGTTTTTTCATTGTAACATTGGATTATTACAACTACATCATCATCAGATTTCTTAGATTTCCTTGGATCCATCCTTCAAGTGGTTAAAGCTTGGATCAAATACCAGAATGGGGTCTTTTGAAGTTATACAAGTTGGTTTGAATTGAATTTAAGTGTTTGAAAAAAGGAGACAACATATGAGAGGTTGGATCGGTATTGAATGCTGTAGTGAACTCTCTTTCTTTTGAGCTTAACATGTTTTTTCCCCTTGAGCTTGAGTCTGTTGAAGTTGGGGTACCCATCTTGATGCTAGTTGCTTCATCATCTTGGACTTGTGTGTTTTGACAATGAGTTTGTGGTGTTTTGCTACTGGTTTTTTATCTTAGATCATAAGAAGACTGAGAGAGTTTCTGTTTCTTGCTTGGTGTTTCCGGTGTTTTGCTGTTGGTTTTTTATCTTAGATCATAAGAAGACTGCTAGAGTTTCTGTTTCTTGCTTGGTGTTTCCGGGGTTTTGCTGCTTTTACGTTTTGCCATTTCTAGGCAATGATGAAAACATAAAAATGTCAACATTAAATCCCAGAGAAAATTGAACATGCCAGAGAAAATTGGACATGTCAGAGAAAATTACACACAAGCGAGAAAACTAAGATGGCTAAGGAAAATTATAAACGTCAGACAAAATCTGACACTAAAAATTAAATGTCAGAGTACTAATTGTTTTCCTGTGGAATACATTTAGCCACATAAAATTTCCATTGCCAGAGAAAATCAACAAAGCATCATAAACATGGTAGAGAAATTTTTAATAATTGTTAAAATTACATATAAAAGTCAAATATAGCCAGAGAAAATTGAAAAAAGAAACATATATCTAGCAAGCATAAAAAATGAATGACAGAGAAAAGTAAACATGGCAAGCCAAAGAAAATTTTCATTCCACAATTAGTAAGATAAAATAAACAAAGTAATGTAAACATGCTACTAAAAATTATTCCACATTGAAACCAAGAATTGAATAAAATAAACATATCAGAGAAAATTACACATTCGTGAGAAAATTTCCATTCCAGAGAAAATTTCAAGTCCATAGTATTAAAATGCCAGAGAAAAATACATATTCTAGAGAAATTTACAAAACAGAGAAATTTATAGACTAAATCGCAAAAACATGTTCAAAAATAAGATCAAAATACAGAGAAATAACTTTTTTTCAAAATAAACATGCCAGAGAAAATTCAAAGAAGAAACATACATTCCAGTCCATAATATTAAAATGCTAGAGAAATTTATATACACAACCAGAGAAAATTAAACATGATAGAGACACACAAGGAGGAAAGTGATGTGGTCAGAGAAAATTATAAATACCAGAGAAACTTAGACAGAGACAAGAGAGTGATAGACATTCCAATTAAAAATACACATTACAGAGAAATTTACAGAGCAGAGAAATTTATAGACAAAATCACAAAAACATGTTCAATAATAAGATGAAAACACAGAAAAATAGCTTTTTTCAAAATAAACATGCCAGAGAAAATTGAAAGAAGAAACATACATCAAGCAAAAATGAGAGAAATTCAAATGCCAGAGAAATTTACAGATAAAATCACACAAACATGTTCAAGAATAAATTCAAAACACACAGTAATAACTTTTTTTAAATTCATGTAACTTTTTATTACGAAATTGAAACCCTAATTTATGGAAGGTTAATACAAAATGCAATTAACTGTGTTTCTAGAGAAAATCTAGTTGTATTGTAAAAAAACTTACCAGAGTTAGGATGAAACTTTAATAACGAGCTGATATGTCCTGAGAAGATGTGATGTGACGAAGATGAACTAAGATGATAATGAACAGTGAAAATGAGGTTAGAGAAATTTGTGAGGAAGGAATGAGAATGATTTTTGTAGAAGATAACGAAGCTCTAATGTTGATAGTGAAGATGATATTGAAGCCCTAGTTCTGCTGTTCTCTTGTTCGTGAAGATGGTTAGATGCTTGGAATGGACCTCAGTCGTCAGAATCAGTTTTATCTATGTGTTGATTTTGTGAAGGGTATTTTGGTCCATGAAATAATTAAAAATGCGCGCCATGTTGTTCAGGGACCTGATGCATCACTCTTTTTTTTTGGTGTCCTTTATCCTCTAAATTACTATTATTAGGGACCTTAAAAAAAATTCCCCAAGTAAAAATAATTGGAATTGTTTATTGTTTTGGATCTAAAATTATGGAATAATATTAATGATCATGAAAAAAATATTATGAAATATTTTATGAATTTTTTTTATCTTTTAATTAGTATGTGGTGTTTTATTATTGTATTTGTAATATAAGGATAAAAAAATTTTCAAGATCATTTTCATAATATTTTTTTTCATGATTCCTATCATTATCCAAAAGAAAATGCTATAAACGTTGAATAATCTATCAAATTTTCTACTAAAACTCTCAAATAGGTGTCCTACACCCATATAAGAGGTTTGGTTAAAAATTTGATAAATTATTTAGAACAAAAATGCTAAAGATTCTAAAAATTTTATCAAAAATTTTACTAAATGTCTCGCATAAATGTAGGACCCACATAAAATCCACATTGAATCCCATATTCATATAAAACATTTGATAAAAATTTTGGTAAAATTTTTGAGTGTCTAGTATTACTCTATGGGATATGATTAAGACCCCCTCCAATCACCACCCCACACACGTGGCGGGTGGTGATTGAAAAAAAAAAAAAATGGCCAATCCAAAAGAGAGGGGGCCAAAGGGTGGGAAAAAGCGGGTCTTAAACATTGGGCATGGCTTCTGTCCGGTCTTTAATCGGACTGGACCGTGTTGTTGGGCCCATGAGGGCCCATCACGGATCTCGTTTTGATAATCTGAACCGTTAAATGTGTAAAAATCGTTGAGTAATATATGTCTATAAAAAACCACGTTAATCGGATATCGATAGTTATGTGATCAAATTAGGTTTGTATAAAAAAAAGACGGTGAATACGTTAACGGTTGACAAAAATATGTTTTGATCACATAGCTATCGATATCCGATTAATATAATTTTTTATAGACATATAGTACTCGATGAATTGTACACATTAAACGGTTTAGATTATGACTGAAGCCATCCCCTTAAAGATTTTGGTACTCTATTTAAACTCTTACCCATAATTAAAACTCTTACCCATAATTAAGTGGGATTGAAATTGCCACGTCAGCATCTTCCCCTCGCACCAGCAGCCGATTTTATTATACCGACAGAGAGAGCGTCCGCGTTTGTGCCGATCATCGTCACTCTCAGTCTCAGTTTCAGTTTCAGTCTGACTCTCTCTCTCTGCGATTTCGAGAGAGAGAGAGTTTGTGTGGAGCCATGGCAGTAGCAGCAGTAGTGGCGATCTCCAATACTAACCCTTTGCCTTCTCCATTTCTCGGACACATACCCTTTCATCTCGTAACTCTCTCTCTCTCTCTCTCTCTCTAGAAATGTGTATCCTTTGTTGATTTTTCCGTGTATAGATTCGCTGATATGTAATGTACGATTCATGCTTGAGAATGTAAAATTTTTTCAATTTTGGATCTGGCATGGTTTACATTACTTTTCTTTCCATTCCAAGTCAGAAATTGTAAACTACTACATGATTGCTTTCTGTGTCTCTCTCTTAGATGACATTAATTTATGTTCACTTGCACTTACCTTAATTATGAATGTGTATAGCCTTTCACTGAAGAAAATAAATTGCTATAGATGGAGTTCGACTGTGGACAAATTTAGGCTGCGTTTGGTTGGGGGATTTGGGGAGGGGTTTGGAAAAAGAAAGAGAAAAGTTAGGTGAAATGTTGTTATATTTTATCCGCATTTTACTTAGTTTTTCCCTTTCAAATTACTTTTCAAATCCCCAACCAAACACAGCCCTAAGGTTCACAAAGAAAATAGCCTTTTGTTTGGTTATTACACCATTTGACCCAAAATTTAAGTTGAAAGGAAATGGCCCTAACAATATTGATATCAAGCTAAGACCCTTCCTCATGTGCAATCCCGTCTTGCACGTGGAAGGGTTCACAGACTGAGAAAATAAGATGTACGAAAATGCATACAACAGATTGCACAGTGATAGAAATAATGGATTATGGGGGTGATAAGATTTGACCCCAAGACCTCCTTCAACTAGAGCTTTGATACCATGTTAGATCACCAATCGTGCCAAAATCTTATACTAAAAGGAAATGGACCAAACAATACATACAAACCAACATGCTAACTAACATGCTTTAAAAAGAAAAAGCCTTGGAAATTGGATCCAGTGAGATATGAGAATGCAATTGCGATAGGTGAAAAAATCAATATAGGTCAGTTGTGAACCAGTTTTAAAGTGCTTTCCAAAGTCAATGCGACTGATGATTTGAAACTTTAAAGTAGGGCAAAATAAAACCCCAACGTGGTTGCTGCATATGCATTTTCTTAGATGACACTTGATATAGAAAAGTGTTAGAATTTACCAATTTACTCCTCCACCTACCATCTCCACTAGCACCCACTTCACCTACCACCTCCACTACACTACACCTACTACCACCTTCTCTTCTATATATAGGAGTTGTAATACATAACACAATAACAACATTAATTAATAATATATCATTTTTAACATGGTATCAGAGCAATAAGATTTAGGCTTGTATTTTTTTCTCACCGGCGGGCAGCCGGCCGGCAACCTTGCCTTCGCTGCCCGCTGGAATTTTTTTTTTTACACATACCTTGCTTGATCACAAGCCTCTCTCACCTTCGGCCACATTTCCGACTGCAACTCCGGCCAATCCTTCATCAGAACACACCCAAATGTAGGGCCATTCGCAATCACCACGCGATCAGGATGCATGATGATCACCTTCTCTTTCTTCAGAAGCACAGAGTACCCAACAGAGCTGTAGTCATTGAAAATGGGTCCTGCAAACAAATAAGCATCCGCGGATTCCACGATTTCAGCGCAACAGGCAGTGCTCACCGCGCCCGAATAAGTCCCAATGAAACGAGGATGGTGTTCGGGCACACGCCCTTTCGCCGATGGCATCACTGCGAGAGCATAGCCACAAGCATCAGCTACTCAACAAATGCTTCACAAGCTTTAGTCACCCTCATCGGTTCAGCCGACTCCACCATGGGCCGCCATCTCGCTCGCCGGCTCGTCCAGATCGGCGTCACCGACGTCTTCTCAGTCCCCGGCGACTTCAACCTCACCCTCGGCTCGATATCTGAGAAAAGTTCTCAGGCAACAAGAATCTCAAGACATTGCTGATAAACATGCACACTTGATAAACATGAACACTTGATAGGAAACATTGATGACAGAGAACCCTCAGTGAAAGCTACTGTTAACACAGTTCCATCTTCCAACCACTAGTCAATCCCACTAACCAATGCCCTTTACTCTCTCTCTCTGGTCCCTTCCCACCGCCCAAGCCCACTCCGATTTCCTTTATTTTAATCTATCTATATATGTATATGTTTCTTCTCATATATTACTCCCACTCTGTCAACTACCACTTTTTCTTTTCTTTTTTTTAAAAAAACAAAATACAAACCAACACACCCACACCCACAGTGGGATTTTTCTTCTCTACTCTGCTGCAGGTCTCTTCTTCTTGCCTCCGTCCTGGCCGGCCCTTGACGGTGTTGCCTCCGTATTTCCTTGTCCACCGAGCACGTTCACTCCCCCAAACTCTTCCACTGCAGCATATGGTGGCCCTCCAAATCGGAACATCACGGTGGCCTTCCGCTTCAGCTCCTTGTTTTCTGCCCTTAGCACGCTTATCTCTGCTCGCGCATCCTTATACATGCGTTGGAGCAGAGCCAGCTGGGAGTTTAAATGCTGCACCTCATTTGTCCTACTCTGCAGCCGGTTCGACAAATTTGTGACCGCCGTCATGGTTTCCACGCATGACTTCAGAGTATACTGATTAGCCTCCACATCCGTTTGCACTGCCATTTTTTGCTCCACCGACTGCATCGGAAAGTTCAACGGAGCAAAACCAGCGGTGTTTGGTTGAGGTTCACTGGCCACCGCACCAGTTATTTCTCTTGTGGGCTCGTTCAGTTCTGGAAAGAGCGTGAGCAGGTTCTGGGTAGATGGACGGGAAGAAGAGGCCATGTTTTGGGTTGCTCAGTGTTTCAGCGCAGGGTTTACAGAGTGTTTCAGACTGCCACAATTCAGATGTTTCAAACTGGTTTTCACAGCTTTTCTCTGCCTCAGCCTCAGCCTCAGTCTCCGTCTTATAGCCGAGGCAGCCATGCGCATCGCGCGCCTCTTGACGCCCGACAAACTGGCACGCCTTTTCATGGCACGTCTTTTGATAAAGTGGGCACGCCTTTTGATGGCACGCCTTTTGACAAAATTGGGCACACCTTTTGAGGGTGCAACTTTCTCCAACGGTCCGACAAGACCCCATAAACTGTCCCGACATTTGATTCCGGTTAGCCTTTTTCAACGGTCCGACATGACCCTATAAACTGTCCCGACATTTGATTCCGGTTAGCCTTTTTCAACGGTCCGACATGACCCCGTAAACTGTCCTGCTACAACGGTCCGACATGACCCCGTAAACTGTCTTCTACATCTGACACGACCACACAGTGTCTGCTTCAACGGTCCGACATGACCCCATAAACTGTTCCGACATTTGATTTCGGTTAGCATCTCCAACGGTCCGACATGACCCTATAAACTGTTCCGACATTGATTCCGGTTAGCATACAGTGTCCTCTACAACGTTATGACACCACCCTACAGTGTCCTCTACACCGTTATGACACCACCATCCCGTGTCCTCTACAACGTTATGGCACACCCATCCAGTGTCCTCTACGATGTTCTGACACCACCATCCAGTGTCCTCTACCACGTTATGGCACCATCCTTCAGTGTCTTCACCAACGGTCTGCCACGACCATACAGTGTCTCCTATCTTTGTTTTTATTTTATTTTTATTTTTATGTATTTTCTTGTTTTGTTCCTCTCTCCAAACTCACGTTGGTTAGTTTCTATCCTCCTTGAGTTTGCGGGGGGCTGTTAGAATTTACCAATTTGCTCCTCCACCTACCATCTCCACTAGCACCCACTTCACCTACCACCTCCACTACACTACACCTACTACCACCTTCTCTTCTATATATAGGAGTTGTAATACATAACACAATAACAACATCAATTAATAATATATCATTTTTAACAAAAAGTCTTACAAATGTCTAATTATTGAATTAGTTAATCAACATGGACTACTACGCAGGACAGGCAATGAATGGTTGTGGGTTTTGGTGCAAAACTGAATTCTATGCAGGAACTAATTTTTTGGTATTGATGAGAAAACGTGCACTATTATTCTACATTCAACCTTCTAGTTTGATTAAATAAAAATTGTTAATCACTAAAATGTTGTTTACCTTTGGAGGTAGTAGTTTTTTATGTTAACATCCCTTCTTCTTCTTCTTTGTGTGTGTGTGTGTGTGTGTTGTCATGTGGGTGTTGATTCTATCTACCACATTGGTTGACAATCATTATTGTTTGGTAAGTGGGCAATGGATGTGTAATCTTAATTGGTACTTTTAATGGGTCTTATTGTTTGTGGTGGCTATTGTGGGATTGGATGATGTCGATGTTGGAATTGAATGTACCATGGCTTGGGGACCTCAAAGGGTAGTTCCTTAATTGACGGCAAATCATGGTCTTGGATAGAACTCAACTCAAAAAGTTAGTTATTGAGGTGAGGGTTCCTTCATGCTTATATACTTAGGCCTCGTTTGGGAGCCCTCCATTTTAGCCAAAAAGTTACTAAATTAGCCAAAAAGCCAACAACCCATACAAAAAAGTCAAAAGATTCTCTTTTCTCTCTACTTTTTGCACATCTTTTCATAAAAAGCCAAAAAGTTATCCCAAACATAATATTTTTTTTTAGCTCATATTTTAGCCAAATAGCCAAAAAGTTACTAAATTAGTCTGTTCCCAAACAAGGCCTTAATATTACTTACCTAGGCAATGTGGGACTTCGCTTCACACAAAAGAGAAGACCAGGAAGGTTTACCGGAGGAGAACCAAGAGGGAGTTTGACTTTTGTGAACAACCAAATGGAACAATTGACCAAACAGAGATGACCCAACAAGGGTGTTGATTGCTGCACACAACCAAATGGAGAGGGTTGCAACCATATGGAGAGGCAATGTCGTGAAGGGAAGAGGGTCGCAAGCATGAACTGTGAACTGCAAAGTTGATTTGTGAGGAATGAGTCGCGTTTGGAGAGACGATTGGTGGCAAGGCAGGAGTCGCAAGTGACGATCAGTGGCAAGGCAATACAAGAGTCGCAAGTTGCAAACTCTGATCAAATGAGAGAAACAACCTGTGAGCTTTGAATAGATGACAGGGACGAACTATGAAAAGGTGCGAACTACGATAGGTAGCACCAAAAAATCAATGGCTAGGGTTGCTGCCAACCTCGCTCTGATACCATGTTAACACAGGTAAATAGAATATTGTATTGTCTTATTGAATAAATCATCAAATCAAAGTACTACTTAAATAGGTGAAGCAAGTAGCCCTAAAGCCCTAATTACATGAAGTATGACTAAACTACTCTCAAGTACTAAAAGAAGTAACATAAGATATTTCACAGGAAGTTATTGTGACTTCTTCCTACGGTTCTTTTTCTCATATGAGCTCCGTCTTCACGTGGAGAACTATGGAATGTGAGTCCTGGTTGGTTGAGGACCAACTGAAGAAGAGTTAGAAGTACAATAAAGGTAACCTCAGGTACCAATAAGAGCAATGAGAAGTGGCAGTTTCAGCAATGGTTGTTTCAGTCGGAAAGCTATGTCCAAGTTGTATGTCTTTGCATGCAGATCTCTAACCATATCTCATGCTTATATTGTCCCATTATAGAGAGATATGGTAATTGAAATTTCATCTTGCGTTTCACATCGTCAAGGGGTGTAGTACATTCATTTGGGCTGAATGTGTGATTGGTTGTCTTTCTATTTTGGAAAATAATTTTTTAATTTGAGTTGCACAATTTTGCATGGCTGTTGTTGGATATATTCCAGTGTTTTTTTGGTAAAGTATAAATGGAAATTGTTAGTATATGTCAATGTCAAGGAAGGCTCTATTTGGACCCCAAAAATTAGGTTGGGCACCTCAACCTAATGAAACTTTTTTTATTACTATTATATCCTCATTTAAAATGACCCAAAAGTATTTAATATCTATGTTACCTGGACTCGACAAAAGTATCCGACATAGATACTTGTCTAAGAGTTAGATTCCCCATTTTCTCTGATTTTAGGATACAGGGACACGAATAAAAAGTTGGATACGGATACGGGGATACATTTATTTATATGTATATTTAAAAATGTATGATAATTTTTAAAGAATAATTACCCAAATTTAAAGAAATAATTTCCACATAAGATTTAATAGGGCCCAGGTTTTATTTTTTTATTGGGTTGAGATTTTTTTCTTAATGAAAACTCACATTTATATTTTATATTGGATTATTTTGGGCTAAGTATTTGAGCTTAAAGACATATCTATATTCATAAAACTCTAGCCCACTACTAAAATAGGGCCCATTCAAAGTAAAAGCGGAGTCCACAAAACCCTAGCCACCACCAGTGAAGTTCATCATCTCAAAACCCTAGCCACCTGTGAAGACCTATGAAGTTCATCATCTCAGAACCCTAGCCACTAGTGAAGTTCATTATCGGCCGTTCTGAAGCAACGCCATACATGTACATCTCTAATCCTCCTCTTCCTCCTCCTTCTTCTTCTTCTTTGTCTTCATCTTTGTCGTTCGTCTTCGTCTTTGTCTTCACCATCGTCTTCTTTGTCGTCAATTGCGTCCGTTAGAATGTTGTTGTGTCCGACTCTAGTCCCACACCCGTATCCATGTCGTGTCGTGTTGACATGGTGTTTCGGCTGAAACCGATGAGTTCATGTAACAGAGCTTAAAATTGAAAAAATACAAATCAACGTATTTTGGACACCCCTTTCATAATCAAACTCAATCTTCCCTTCTCTCTTTTATTATTTTCTTACTCTCTTCACTTTACATCTTCATACTCAACCCTATTTTGCTTGAATCCATTATTCTTACATTCTATTTCATATTGAAGTTAACAATGGACAATGCAAAAGACGTTTCTAAGCAATTTTTTTTTTATAGAGAAGTTAAGTTTTCTATTCATGTTTATTGTTTTCGGTTGTTGGGTTTACGGAATTTGTTCAGAAATTCAGTACTGAACAAATTACATTTATTCGAAAACTTGTTTCTAAACAAAATTCATATATTTGGCAATGTGTTTTTGAAATAATGGTAATTGTTCAGTATTTAATATCCAAGCAGTTGTCTACGCTTGGCTCTGTGTTTCTGAACATTTAGGCCTTGTTTGGTTTGTTTTTCAGAAAATTTTTTGGGAAAAATTCTCTACAAACAAATTTTCAAGAGTAATCAAACCAAACAAATTTTTCCAAAAAAAATCTCAAAATTTTGTTTGGTCCAAAACCATTTCTGAAAAAAGGCAAACCAAACAAGTTTTCGTATTTTTTATCTCAAAAACTACTCTACAAACACAAACCAAACAAGCCCTTAATGTTTTATTTCTTCATGTTCCAATTTTTGAACAAAAAGAACTATTCGGTATTATATTTGGTATTACATATGTTCCAATTTTTTGTTGTTCGGACCTGTGTATCCGCACATGTTTTATTTGTTTGGCACCAAGTATTCGAAGCAATTTTATAATTTCAGAATTAAGTATCTGGACGTATTTAATTTGTTCGACGCTGAGTATCTGGGTGGAATAGCTAAAACTAATTTTTTTTTGTTCAAAATTGAATATTCGGATATATTTAATTTGTTCGACACTGAGTATCCGAATGAAAAAGATGGAACCAATTTTCTGTTGTTTGGAACTAAGTATCCCGACATATTTCATTTATTTGGCACTGAGTATCCGAAGAAACTATAGAACTCACTTCTTTCAAAGAATCAAAATCGGAAAGTCCCAAATTGATGGAATGCCAAAATACCCTAAAACAATAGGGGTTGGAGACCTAGAGGGGTTGGAGATGATGGGTTGGCGACGAGGGTGTTGGAGACGACGGGTTGACTCCGCCATGAAGGATGAGTTTGTGCCCCTATTGTAACTATTAGACTAATGTGGTGTAGAAAGTAGGTTTCTAGTATATTTCTAGGGTTTTAAAGAATTTTAGGAGCATAATAATAGGTATTATTTGGGGTGTTCAAAAAAATAAATAAAAATTTAAATTTTCAATTGGAATGTTCAAAGTAATGGGGTCTCCAATCTAAATTTTGGAGTGCATTTAGATTAGAGCTACCCCAATGTTAATTATACTCTTGACTTTCTCTTTTTTATTGAGTTTTCTTGCCATCTTTTTATAGTTTAATTTAATTATGTCAGAGAAAAAGAACTTAAAGGTTTACCTCTGGATTTTCTAGACCTTTTCATTTGGTTTCTCTTTTGTCTTTCCTACAAGACTCCGTAAACTGTCACAACAACTGTCACCACATTGTCTTCTACAACGGTCCGACATGACCCCGTAAACTGTCTTCTACAACGGTCCGACATGACCCCGTAAACTGTCCTGCTACAACGGTCCGACATGACCCCATAAACTGTCCTGCTACAACGGTCTAGTGTCTTCACCAATGGTCTGACACGACCATACAGTGTCTCCTATCCTCTTTTATTTTTTATGTATTTTCTTGTTTTGTTACTCTCTCCAAACTCAAGTTGGTTAGTTTCTATCCTCCTTGAGTTTGCGGGGGGCTGTTAAAATTTACCATCACTACCACCAATTTACCATCACCTACCACCACCTAATCCTCACCTACTCCTTCACCTACTACCTTCTTCTCTTCTATATATATGAATCAATGTAAACATAACAAAATATCAATACACAAGATCAATCAATATCAATCAATAATACATAAATTTTTACACTTCTTTATTTCATCCCTCGGCAAAGATGAAATCCAAATTTTAATTTTGAACTACATTTAGCAAAATACCTCTCCCAACTGTAGCTAAAATAAATATTTTCTATTCTTACCCATGGACCTTTAAATAGCCAGTTTCATAACAAACTGCAGTTGGGTAGTTCAACTTATCATTGTGATATAGATTCACCTCGCTAGCAGACATGTATTGCTTTATGTGTTAACTTGCTTTGAAATGGCCATATCACAAGAATACTGTGACATTTTTTATTCCGTTTCATTGAAATTGTTTGAACTCATTCACCAAATTGCTTTGATGAAAAATATTTTATTTACTATTTTATGCTGCCTGTTTCATCGTGAGTGTCTATTGTGAACATTAGGATAAGCAGATACAAACATGTTTGTGCTGTGTGTCTTTATTGTGGACATTACTTTTGATTTTTTGAATTGTAGGGACAATCACCATTTGGACATAGTGTCCAGAATTTGGTTCACACATCTAAAAGGACTACAACTAACGCACTCTTTTGGGGACCTAGGAAAGCTGTGGAGCGACCTGATACGGATCTTTCGCTTGGACATTTCACTTTGACAGGGTCAGGCTCAGAGGTGTTTTCTTTTGTTGGTCCTTGAGATGCGATGCTCATTTATGTGTTTCTGTTAGTTGTATCTAATGCTTGCTATTGTTTTTGATTCAGGGAGTTTCTGCAAGCTCAGGCAAGCCTCAAAAGGTATCAGTTTCAGTGGTATCTTCAATCTCAGAGGTTCCTTCGCATGATTGGGATGCATGCAACCTAGATTCTACGGGTCCTGAAAAATTCAATCCGTTTCTTTCCCATGGTTTCCTTTCTAGCTTAGAGGAGTCGGGTTCCACTGCGAAGGTCAGCTGTTGCTGCTTCATTACAGTTCCAATCTTGAATTCTACTGCTACAATTTGATTTGTGAAGTTCTATGATTAATTTTAGTCAACTAATTGAGATGTAGAATGGAATAGAATTGTTTCAGTTTGTTTCGTACTATACTTATTTGCATCTTTATGTTTTTCAGTCTACTGTATGTGTTGCATGTATAGGTTCATCCAAGAATGAAGTTTTTTTGTACTTTATTTTTTTTGGTTTTGGGGACTAAGTTATATTTATGATGACTTGCATCTCATGTTGTATGTCTATCCTACATTGTAAAGGAGACATTTGTGCTTGAAAAAGCTGATAAAACAATTTTAGTTTCATGTGTATAAGTGGCCTTGATAGACTTCTTTCTTAATTGAACATAGTTACTGAAAGGTTCTGTTTTCTTATGTGAATTTAGATTTTGTCACTGAATTCCGGACTTGAATATTTTGTTTTTCCTGATATTGAAGTGAGAACTGTCTAGTCTCTAAAAGTCTTTCCAGCACAGAGAGAGAGAGAGAGAGAGAGAGAGAGATCTTAAAATAGATTTCTTATTTAAATATCATCATAATCTCTTATAGAGGGATGAATGGTGTAAGTCAGAGAGAAGTGTTCTTTTATTTTTTGATCAGCAACAAAGAAAGAATTTTATTAAAAAGGAAAAAAAAAAAAGAGGTACAAAGGAATCTCTTATAGAGAAATGTTCTTTTATTGAAAATGGGTACTGACATCAGGGGAACATTCATAAACAGACTTGAGATTGGAGCTGACTCTGACTGTCTAATGTTGAGTTAGTCATGAAAACATGTATTTTGCCTTTTGTTTTTCCACGTAAGGGTTGTAACGTAAATGCTAAATTTTGTAAATATAAGTTATTAGAATTTTGACTTAACTAAGGATATATAGCTTTTAATAGAGCCAACTAGAGGAAATAGATCCATATAGCTTACCCGAAGTAATTGGGACAAAGTCTTGTTGAGTTGGGTTGAGCTGTATTTGTTGTTAGATTTCATGAGAGACATGACTGGAACTCATTATTGAAAATGAAATAAATCAACTATCTATAACAAGAAAAGTGAAAATGAGCTAGGTGGAAAGGCAAAAATCATATTGTCATGTATCATTCAGAATTGATGCAAGAGATGTCTGTCTTATTACTTACACACCCAGAACATAAATTTATACAAATCAAAAACATCAGTCACTGGGCCTGTTATGTTGCTGGAAATTTGTTTTTTCCCTGTTCTCTTGGTTGGTAAGAGAGTTGGAGATTCAACACAAACACTCTGGCTGATGTTTGTTTATTTACCCTATCTATATTCAAAGTTGTGGGGTAGCCGTGTCTGGTTTGGATGGAATACGGAGGGAATTAGTGACTGGAGATTTTTGTTTCATTGCTGAGGTATTCCTTAGCTTTGCCAAAATGGCTTTAATTGTTAGTGTAGTGTGGATCGCTTAACTAAATTTATATTCTTTCTACATTTTAGATTATTAGATCCTTGTTCTAGGCATGGTTAAGCTAAACTTTTCATTGTAAAGATTAAATGTTTTTGATATCCATGCAGCATATGCATGTATTTTTTTGTTGTTGCTTTTTTGCTAGTATTTCTTGGAACTGAAACTTGTAGATGAATTTCAAACTGCATTTATTCTGTTTCTATATGAATGGTTCAAGTGACGGAAAGATAGTATGATTATGTAGGTTTTTGCAGACAAACAAATTTGATAGAGCCTTGCAGCCTCTCTTTGCCTCCATTTTCATATACTCTTCATTTAATGTATGCAGTATGCCACTTGGTTATAAACCTATAATCATGGATCTCTTAATTCCATTAATTACCTACAAATTGGTGATCCCTTGTTAAGCTCTGCATTTCACTAGAAAATTTTATTTTATTTGGTTTTTGTATGTGGTTGTTTCTGATATTCACCATTGAGTTTTGTGGGTAGCTGGAAGGCATTTCTGTCTTTTTTTTGGAAGTAAAATCATGATTAGATTATCATCTTCATTCCTAATTTTAGAAATCATGCTGGCTTTCTGCAAAGTAAATATTTATTGTTTCTCAGGTATTTTATATACTATAATTATGTTGAACGAATTTGTTAATATTACTGAACTTGAAAATCTGGTCATTATTATTTCAGGAAACAGGATGGATACCACAGCACATCATTGCTCAGGATGAACATAAGAACATATTAGGTGTTGCTCCACTTTATCTTAAAAGGTTTAGAACCTTTTTTTGCTCTTTCTGCTTACAACATTTCTGTACGGCTCTGTAACTCTGTTCAATTGTGAAGGAAGGAAAGTACAAGAAAGTCAACTTTCTTATATTTTTTAACTGTTCAGTTAGCGGGAAAGTTGTGGGACCAACATCCTTTTAACTTTCCCATCCCACTTGGATAAGTTTTCCTTTAAACCTTGTCCTTCAATGAAAAAAACATAGAATTTTGCATCGTGGGAATCTTAATAATACATTTCCGAATGAAAACTTTTCCCAAGCTTTCCTTTTTCTATCTACTAACATTAATATTTTGATTTTCCTACACAATTTTCAATGTCAAATGAACAAATTCAGGAAATAAAGTTTCCTTTTCTTTTACTTTACTTTGATATGCTTTTCTGGGCAATAATTTTCCCGTACAAAATTCTTGACAATTGAATGGAACCTAAGTCTTTTTCTTTCCCCCTATCAGCTTTGTGTGTTTGCCATTGCCCTAACTCTTCTGATTTGGTTGTGCAGCCACTCTTATGGTGAATATGTTTTTGATCATTCTTGGGCAGATGCCTATTACAGTTATGGTGCAAGATACTATCCAAAGTTACAATGTTGTGTACCTTTTACTCCAGTAACTGGTCAAAGGGTCTTACTCCGTGACACGCCATACAAAGATCAGGTTTTCGACATTTTAGTCACTGCAATGAAGAATCTGACTGACAAGGTATTTGATGACTAAACTGTTCAACTTCATTCATTTCTTGCACAACCCCTCCACTCTGCCCACAAACCAAAAAAAAAAAAAAAATGCTTGTGGTACGAAGTAGCAAGGACATGCATAACATGGATTGTTAGTGGTATTCCCTAAAAGCTAATGTAGGAGATATGGTTGGTTTATTTTTGTAATACCATCTTTTCATTTAATTAATAGAAGGGTAAATTTTATTTTATCATGTTTGCTTTGTGTGTTTGATTGTTTACATGATAAGTCCATAGAATTTGAATTGAGAAGACATATTCTTCAAGGTTAAGAATGGGAGCCATGTACTTCTATGTACTTTATTTGTGGAGAGACTGATTCTGTTGAGAATATAATATAAATAATAAAGCTGCCCCTCTCTCTAATAGCTTAAGCTTTTAGATGAGTTGGCGGTCAACAAGTTAACATGGTATCAAAGCAGGCAATAGAATCTGTGTTTGAACCTCACCGCCTACCTAATAATAAAAAATACTTGCACGTGTTTGGCTCACTCTCTCTAATAGCTTAAGCTTTTAGACTGTTGGTTAACATTTTAACAGATTCCAATGACTTGAAACCTCACCATGCATTGGAAGTAGATAGCACTTGTCATTGCTCTAAGTCACAATGTCATCTGAATAGAAGTTGAGTGATTACTCTAATTCACTAAAATCAGATTCTAATAAATATTAATGACGAAACCTAGATTGGGTGCTTGAGAAAATCAAAGGTTTTGGTAGGCAATTAGGGATGTCCTATGAGGGCTATGAGCAATTTGGGGACATAGAGTGGAGATGAAGGTCCCAAAATAGGGTGTAGGGGAAGAGGATACAGGCTAGGTCGAGTTTCAGAAAAGAAAGGGAGCTTAGAAACCTGGAGTGTTCCATAAATTATAATTATGTTTCCAAAAAGGAGAATGGTGCAAGGAATTTTTTTGGTGGCAAGGGTACCGGATGTGGTGATCATGTTGTTTCTCCATGAAGCTTAGAGTGATCTCCTGGAATGTAACCAGTCTAAATGACCCAAACAAGTGGAAAGCGGTGAAAGTTGCATTTAGAAAATTGAAAGGGGATTTAGAATAAAGCTTTTGTTGTTGATCAAAAAAAAAAAAAAGTTGCATTTAGAAAATTGAAAGGGGATTTTGTCTGTTTGTAGGAAACAAGAATAAGGATATGTCAGGGGAGGTGCATGGATTGGGGGAGTGCGAGGAAGATGGTTCAACTGGTGGCTATGAAGCAGGGACACCTCTCTAGAGGTCGCGTACAGGTGTCGGATATGAATATGTGCCGGACACGTGTTAGACACGCTGGAAAGAGTTGGACACGTTGGGACACGCTGAGGACACATTGAGGAGAGGCTAGGGACACGCTGAGAACACGTTGGGGACACTCTAGGGACTCGTTGAGGATACGCTTGGGACACGCTAAGTATTATTTTTTTCAAATTTTTTTTTTTTTTTTTTTTTTTATAATTTTTTTACTAAAATAGCATACCTAACATTGATAAATTTGATAAAATTAAAAATTTGACATAAAATACATATAAAATATTTAAAATATACATATAATAAAAATATAAAAATATATGTTTTGAGCGTGTTCTCAACGTGTCGTGTTCTGCATTTTTTGAAAATTTACATGTCTGCATGTCCGTGTCGTGTTACGTGTCCGTGTCCGTGCTTTTTAGACTAGTGGCCATCTTGTGACGTGGGATTCCAGAACTTTGATGAAAAGTGATGAGAAGGTGGGTTCATTTTCAATTTCTTTCTCGTTCAAGAATGTGGGGGATGGGTTTCAATGAGCATGTTATTGGAACTTTTGGCCCTGTTGAAGATGTAGATAAAAGCAGGGTTTGGGACTTGGGAGGAGCTTTCCTAGGTTAAATCTTCTTGTTAAATCTTGTTGGAACTATCTATAGTGCATGGGAGGGAATTTTATCTTATCTCATCTTGCTTTGTCTTATTGTGGTGATTTGCTTTTCTTGGCTCTCCACCTGTTCAAAAATAAACAGTAATATAATAAAAACCCAAACTAGCCATATTTTCTCTGTGGATGTATGGGGGTTTTTCAGATCCCCTTTAGTGGGACACTCCTGCACTATGTCACCCCTTTTGTCTATTTTTGGAGGTTTTTCCTGTTTTGAGCAGACAGTTCTGCAATTGTTGATAAGAGTAATGTTCCGACTTGTTTCTTTTAAATCACTGCTGTTTTGTGATCTGATGAAGGCTTTATATTTTATAGGCTGGTAGATTCAAGGACTGATGATTTGTTAAGTTGTATGCTGACCTATAATTTTTTATGTTCACAGTTTCAGGTTTCATCATTGCATGTTACTTTTCCATCAGAAAGTGAATGGCACAGAATGAAGGAAAAAGATTTTCTGCAGAGGATTGGAATGCAGTACCACTGGAAAAATCGCAATTATAAGGAGTGCGTGATATGCTGGCGTAACTCTAATTTAATCATTTCAGTTTTCTTGACATGCTTCTCAAATGTGGATGATTTCTGTGTTCCTCGTGTTTAAGGATCGCAACTGAGTGGGCTTGATATGTAGTGGCCCACCCTAGTTGCCCTTACCAGGAAGAAGTTCCTCCCCACATTTGTCACAATGCCATGCAGAGGTGGGGCGGGTCAAATATTTTACTGGGGTCAACGGGTTAAAGAGGGTTAACTTGCTTATTGAAAATTCAAACTGGTTAGGAATGATTTTACAAAATGTAATTTGGCCATCAAGGGAGTAGAGCCTTACAATGCAATTTACACACCAATAAGCTTCCATGTGGTAATGAAGCAATTCCATATAGTTCCCGTTGGCACCAAGGCTTCTCTTTGTAGAGACTACTAGACACCCAACTGTTCACCTTTTTAATTATATTTTGATTTGGGACTCGAACATGTTTGTTGACAAGCACAAGAAAGAATATTATGTCGTTCGACGTATCTAATTGTGTGTCAATTTCTGGTGTGTTGTTCCTTGTTCCACATCAACAGTGCTTTGGTTATTTTATGTTCATATAAATGCCACCAAAGTACTACACCATGCTAGTATTTTAATGTATGAATGTATTGTCATAGTAAAATTCCAATGCTAAATTTTGGAGGCACTGTATAGGATGGGGGGACCTAATTTTGTCCACTCCCCTAACACTATGTACAATAGCCTGTTCAGTACCCGAGGTGTGGTCAGGCCATCCCCATTTAAATATGGGCAGATTGGGGTGGGTTACCAGACTTTCAGGTGAGAATGTAAGCAGTGAATAGTAGTGGTTCCATGTAGTAAATTACTAAATTCTATTTTGTTGTTCTTGCTGGTCTGCATTTAACTGCTTAATGATCACTGCAAAATCCTTCCTCCATCCCTTTCCTTTTCCCTTCTTGTAGACATATTTATTGAAAAATACCTGTTCCATGTGAGCAGCAGAGCACTGTTTGCATTCTTTTTGGCAATGCCACATTACTGAGTCTGGATTTATATGATGATCATGGTCTACATTGGCAACACATTCCTTATATTTTTAACCTGTTGTCATTAATTATTATGCTCTTTTGCTTTGGTCTTTGCATCTGTATGTTAGCATGCACTAGAGTGGGGGGAACTTGTTCAAAGTATAGTTCTCATTTAAGGATACTACAATTTTCGTTTTTATTTATTATTATTCTTCTCATGCGTCAGTTTTGATGAGTTCTTGATGGACATGAAGCAAAGTAAAAGGAAAAATATTCGTCAAGAGCGCAAGAAGGTTAGTTTTTTCTTTTTCTATGTTGTTTAATTTGGTGAGTTTCTTAATAGGAAATGTGTTGCCTGAATTCTTTTGAAAGCAAAAAGAGATGACAGTAGTTTTTTCTGAGCAATTTCAAGAATGCTGTATTATTAGTTCAAGAGTAATTATTATTAGGGCTGTGTTATTAGTTCAAGAGTAATTATTATTATTATTATTAGGGGAATTTGGTCAAAGTCCCTCATAATAAAACTTTAATGCATTAAGGACAAGTACAAAAAGTTTTCCTTGAAAAGTCCAACACACAGCACTATTACCAAAATATACTTGGTGACTAATTTAATATTTTAAACTTTAAAATGATATAATTTTTAATCTACATGTCGGTTTTTAATAAAATTAATATTTTTAGAATCTTTTCATCAAGATCTATCAAATAAGATTCAGGTTGACTATGAAATTCTTTAAAAAAAGAATGCGTCGAAATTGACGTAAATAGTAAAATTTTACTTTGTTTCACAATAAAATTATATTTTGGTTAATAGTAAAATTTTACTCTGATTCACAGTAAAATTTTATTGTCAATCAATTAGGATAACATATCTTCACTACAAGTTCACAAACAAATCACAAAAGAACACACTACCAGAGTAAAATTTTACTGTTAAAAAAAAACAGAGTGCATCTTACAATAAGCAACCACAACAAGCAGAGATGAAATTTTACTTTCATATTTACAAACTACTAAACAAACACTACTACGAATCACAAACAACAAAAACAAATTGAAAAAAATAAAATAAACAATCAATAAAACATTCAATAGGTAACCATTATACAAAGAACCATTACCTCCATTCAATAGGAAGTAAACCTTCTATCACTCCTTCAAGTCTAATAAACTCGAATAAATATTTTGAAAAGAATTCTGAACCCGTGTAGTACTTTCAAGTCTATAATATACATCAATCATGACATGCAACACTTTTAAAGGAATCCTTGTCAACATGACACGGACACGGGTGCAAGAGACGGCCGGGATACAACTCTTTATAGATGGATACGACAGAAGAAACAAAAGAGGAGAGAGCAAGGAGAGAACCTGGTCGCTGACTTCGATCTTATCTTCTTTGCTCGATGCTCGATCTCGATTTGTCGACTACGAACTCATCTTCTTAGCTCGACTTTGATCTCATGTTCTTCGCTCCATGCTCCTCTCTCAATCTCGATTGTCTTCTCTCGTCTCTAGATCTCCCTTTTCTTTTCTTCTCTTGATTTCTCGTCGATCTGTCTTCTCTCTCTCTCTCTAACCGATAACAAAAAATCATATATAATATAAAATAAATCATATATATTATAAATTATTTATATTATAAAATAATCATATACATAAATCATTATTTTATTTATTTTATATATATATAAAATAAATCATTTATTTTAAATATATATATATATATATATATATATAATAAAATGATATATAATATAAATTATTTTATGCCTAAAATAATTTGTGTATTTTATATCTTAGTGAGATGCCTATTAAAAAATACATAATATTTTTTTGACACATCCATATTTAGCCGTATCCATGTACTCATGAGTCGTGTCTAATTTTTGGGTACTTTTTAGACATATCCGCGTATCCCTTATTTAGAGGTTAGTTGAGTACGACTTCTAAATACATACTCGCACTTGACACTTGTACCCGAGTCCATGTAACGTAGCTTCCTTCCCACTCTCTGCCACCGTTGCTTCCACCACCATTGGCATCACTCCTAACCCACCAGATTGCTATGGTTTGTCAAAATCTCCAACTCTCACTCCTTCAATCGATGCTTGAGATAGGAAATCCTGCAGTAGAGGACCTCCCACTTTGCTTGCCTCCATACCTCCTTACAAAGCCATTGTTGCTCCTTCTACAACCATCTTTGCTTCTTGTGTAACCATTGAGCATCTTTATGCTCAAAGAAGGCCATCAAACCCTACTTGACTCAAAGGAATGAAACCAGAAACCACAGTCGTGGTGACTCAAAAAAAATAAAAATAAAAAACAAAAACAAAAACAAAAACAAAGAAGAACAAAGCCCAAGGGACTGACAACAAAGGGATTTGGGAAGAAGACTTGAACCTAAACCAAAAACAAAGGAAGGACTAAACCCTAAGAAGAAGGAATGGCCCAAAGAGATCGATGGGCAAAACACGAAGACAAATAGACAAGGGGAAACATAGGAGATCTAGGGTTGAAACCCTAGCAAGATAAACTCTAACAAAGCCAAACGTCTCTGCATGGCGAAACCCTAAAACAGGATAGTCATAGAACAAGAAAAGTGAAAAACAAACCAAAGAATCAATGATAAACAAAGAACAAAGCCCTTTGAAACCAAGGAAAATGAAGATTGAAGTCCTGGAGTGCTCTGATCGAGGAAGATCCTATGTGGAGAGAGAGAGAGAGAGAGAGAGAAAACCCTTCACTTCAATGCATGTTTTACTAGAACATCAATTTGTTGACAAGGTTTAAGTGGTGGTACTTTTGATGCATCTTTTACAAATCATGATATGGGATATGGTGCAAAAAATATGCTACTAGGAAAATTGGGTTAAATTAACAAAATTGGTGTCAATATTATATAGTTTGAAATGCAATTTGAAAGTTGACGGGTTTTCCTGGATTTATACAACCAAAACAGATGTGCATTTTTCTAGTTTTTGTTTTTAATTTGAAACATGGAACAATCACTTTTAGAATGTAGAATGAAACCTGAGATTTTGGTACATTGTACCAGTGAGGAGAGAAAATTGTTTGTTCTTTCATTTGCTCATTTCACTGCCTAAGATTTGAAGAAATACACTATTATATGTCAATTCAACAGAACTTTGTGGAGTTGTTGCTTTCATATTGGTTTTGAGGGTCGGACTCAAAGTTGAAATATGAATTAGTAAATAAATATTCCAGCAAATTTAATTTATAAAATTGTCTTTAAAATGTAATGAATTTTCTCATAACCTGCGAAACAAATATTATTTCAGCATTTGAGCTGTCGGAAGCTAAGACCAGAGAAAGGGCGTGGTGTGCATACAGATATATATGCTCCCAATCACTCCCTTCTAACTTTTTGCTTAATTTGTCTGACTGATATAGATTTTTGATCGTTTGGGCATCTGTAAATTGGTGAGTGCCAATAGTGTTAAACCTTGTGATGGAGGCACAGTTGATCCATCATCCATTAAAATTAAACTTTCTTCTCTCAGTTTTCAATACTTGTGAAGAGTTGAAAAAACAGTTTTCGAGTTTTTTTTTTTTGCCTCATAAGTTATGAGTTACTTGAATGAGATTTCCTTTTGCAGATTTCGGCTCAAAATTTGACTATGAAACGCCTACGAGGATACGAAATTAAGGTACTGACGTTTAATATCTGCAATTAATGGGTGGGGAAATTCTAAGTTAACAATGGGTCCATATGTTATCTTTAGTATGTTTGTTATGCAAAAGATACTGCCTCTTCTTATTTGTATTCTTTCAGTTGCATAGTCAAAGTATATTAAGAGCATAGTTGTCAAATCGAGAATTGTATCTTGAATTGAATTCTGATTTTGCAAATCGTGAATCAATGCATATATGACAATAATGAAAATTTCGATTTTGGGCACATGTAGGGACACGGTTATACCGTCTAATTGGGAAGACATTACCTTCATAGCAAGAGATGTGGGTCCAAATCCCACCAAGCATATTCTCTTGGCTTTTGCAAAATGAACCTAGGAACCTTGTATAGAGAATAATAATAAGAAAGAATTAATTGAAATCCTTTATTTAAAACCTAAAACACTTTAAACCATATACAGTTGTTGAACCATTTGATTTAATTGACCTAATCCATATAATATTTATAAAAAATGTATATATATATATTTATTTTACTAAAATAACAATAGATAATTTCTGGGTTCAAGTTATTTTAACCTTAAACATCTTTAGAAGGTATATTATGATTTATTTTCAAGAAAAATATATGGAGAAAATGTTGAAACATGTTGGGTCTGACTGGATTTGATTGGATCCTATTAAAAACCTCGTGATCGCTGAAGTAACAAGAAATCATGCATAGGTATTGATTAGTTTCGTACTAAAAATTCTTAGAAGTTGTATTATGTCATTTTTGCTATTTAAAAAAAAGTAAAAATGGTCGAAATATGTTGGACATGATAGCTTCAAGAATTGCATAAATCGTAACAAGTGAATTGAATCTTGTATCAATTGTGAATTGTGCGATTAACTATAGATTCACCCGCAAAGTAGATTCAGATTCAACCATAGATTCATATTGATTATGCATAAATTGCAAATCATAGGATTTTGATAATAGAGATTAAGAGTAGATTTCTTTATGGATATTTATGGAAAAGAATCTTTGTCGCAATTACTTGGGTTTGACTACCTTATATTTACGGAGAACTGAATGCTAGGAATTTTCTTAAATATTTTATGGACTCATGTGGAATTTTCTTAAATATTTTAAGGATTCATGTGGTTAACAAAAAAACATGTATTGTGAGAACTTAATTGAACGAAAAGGATATATTATGAGCCAAAAAATTATGGATCATGTTGATCAATATATTGAAATCATAGATTAGTATTGTGAATTTATCAATATTCAATAATGGGATTTTGAATGAAATTTTTAAAAATGAGACATTGATGCATGTCTTGAGTCAATATATGGCGAATAAAACATATATTTGACTAGCATGGGGTGTCACAATAAGAAGAATGCGCACCTTTGAGGATTTAAAGAACTTCTATCACTTAAATATCATAAAATTAAATTATAGGAATATTAAGTGTTGAATACGAATATGCATATCAAATAAAATTCAATTGTAAAATACAAAATTTATAGCTACACCAACAATGTAATATTACCATCCTGCAATTGAAACCATGTTCGGTAACTCAATAGTATTATTACTTTCTCCACCTGGACCAAACCAGACCAAACCAAACCAAACCAGACTAGACCAAACCAGACCAAACCAAACCATGCCTTAAGTCCCATCAAATAAGATCGGTTATATGAATCTTTCTTCTACACGCGGCCCTATCAAAGGCCATTTCTTTAGTCAAATTAAGTAGATCCATATCTTTATTTATAACGCTAACTAACGTTAATCTTGGCCTACCCCATTCCTTGACACTTTCATCTACCATTACAGCATCGCATCTTTTCACTATTGCCTCTGTTGGTCTTCGTTGAATATGACCAAACCATCTCAATTGATTTTCTCTCAACTTATCTTCTATCGGTGCTACTCCTACCTATTCTTGAATACACTCATTTCTAATTCTATCTTGTTTAGTCTTGTCACACATCTACTTTAGCATTCTCATCTTAGCCACACTCATTTTATCTATATGTTGTTTCTTGGTTACTCAATACTTCGTCCCATACAACATCACTGGTTGAATAGACGTTCTATAGAACTTACCTTTTAGTCTAGTGGGTATTCGTTTGTTGCACAGTGCACTTCTCCACTTACACCATCCCGCCTTAATCCTATAGGCCACATCCGCATCAATCTCCCTTGCTGTTGTAATAATTGACCCTAAATAACAAAAATGTTCACTCTTAGGCAGTTCTTGGTTCTCAATCTTCACTTCTCTTTTGTTTTCATTGTTACTGTTCGTAAATTTACATTCCATGTACTCTGTCTTAGTTCTGCTTATCCGGAATCCTTTAGATTCAAGAACTTTTCTTCAAATCTCCAACTTTGTGTTAATTCCTTCTCCAGTCTCATCCACTAGCACGATATCGTCTGCAAAAAGCATACACCATGGCATGTCATCCTGAGTATTTCTCGTCAGCTCATTCATCAGTAAAGCAAAAAGATAAAGACTTAAGGTAGATCCTTGGTGTAACCCTACAGTGATAGGAAATTCATTTGTCTCTCCAGCAGACGATCTAATAGTGGTAACCACCCCTTCATACATGTCCCTAATCACATCAATGTAACCTTTTGTCACCCTTTTCTCTCTAACACCCATCATATTGTATCCCGGAGCACTCTATCATATGCTTTCTCAATGTCGATAAACACCATATGAATGTATCTTTTCTTTTCTTTATTCTTTTCTTTTCTTTTCTTTTCTTTATACTTTTCTATTACTCTCCTCAAAAGATAGATCGCTTCCATTGTTGACTTGCTAGGCATAAACCCAAATTGATTCTCTAACACTTCTGTTATATCTCGCAATTGGCATTCCATCACCCTCTCCTATACTTTCATTATATGACACATTAGCTTGATTTTTCTATAGTTATTGCAATTCTGGACATCTCCTTTATTCTTATAGATTGGCACTAAAATACTTTTCCTCCACGCATTTGGCATGTTCCTAGTCAACAAAATTTTGCTAAACAACCTAGTCAACCAAGCAACCCCTTTTTTACCATACACTTTCAAGCTTCAATAGGAATATCATCGGGTTCTAAAACCTTATTTGATTTCATCTTTTTAAGTGCAATCTCTACTTCAAAGTTCCTAATCCTGCGATAGAACTTATAGTCTTGGTTTGTTGTGTTACTGGCTATTTCTTCTCCTATTGTCGTATCTCTATGTTTCTCATTTAATAGTTTCTCAAAATAGTTCTTCCATCTTTTCTTAATCTCTTCATCCTTCACCAATACCTTAGAATCCTCCATCTTGATGCACTTAACTTGATTAAAATCTCTTGTTTTCCTCTCCTGTATCTTAGCAAGTTTGTATACTCTCTTCTCTCCCTTCTTACTATCTAGTCTAGTGTATAGGTCATCATAAGTTTTTAACTTAGCATCTTTCACTACTTTCTTGACCTCCTTATTAGTCAATCTATAGCTCTTAAGGTTTTTCTCAGTTCTAACCTTCTGTCACTTTTTAAAGTACTTTTTTTTTTCCTTAACTACCGCTTGAACTTCTTCCCTTCACCACCAAGTTTCCCTAGAGCTGGGTCCCATTCGTTTCGACTCTCCAAGCACTTCCCTTGAGATTCTCTTTATACAATTGGCCATTGAGTTCCACATAGTATTAGTATCATCTTCTAAGTCCCAAGTACCTTCCTTATCCATTCTATTTTTAAATATTTCTAGTTTATCCCTTTTTAGGTTCCACCATCTCATCCTACGACGCCTATCATTCTTCCTAGCTTGCTATTGCCCTCTAAAACATAAATTTAGTACCAAAATCCTATGTTGAGAGGCCAGGCTCTCTGTAAGAATCACCTTACGATTATTGCATCTTAGGTAGTCCACTTTTCTCACTAAGAAGTAATCTATTTGGCTCTTAATTGACCCACTTTTAAAAATTATCAAATGCTCCTCCCGCTTCTTATACGTAGATTGGCCACCACCAGGTCAGAAGCCAATGCAAAATCTAAGATATTTTCTCCAGCCTCATTTCTGTCACTAAAACCGTATCCACATTGCACCCTTTCATAGCCTAGTTTGTGTATGTTTACATGGCCATTAAAATCTCCACCTATAATCAGGTTCTCTCATACGGGTATCTCCTGTAAGATCTCATCCATTTGCTCCAAAAAATCTCTCTTAGTCTGATCATCTAATCCTACTTGAGGGGCGTATGTACTAATAACGTGCACTATATTCTCTCCAATAACTAGTTTAACTAACATAATCCTATCCCTTTTCCGAATGACTGCCACTACATTCTCCACAAGACTCTTGGCAATTATGATTTCTACCCACGTAAACAAAAAGATAGCCCCATCGGCTAGTTGTTCACAATACCGTACCTATGGGACTACATCTACATATTCATAATATCTTATTCGTTTGTTAAGGCTTTAAAGTTGAAAGAGACTTGTGTGCTTCAAAGGATATATACTTCAAGAACAATAACTGTAACATTCTTTGATATCTCGTGATTCATCCCTACTTTTCCATCAGTAGGTGAGTGTTTCATTTTGAATCTACACAATCTATCCACATGCAATATTTCTATTTATACATATCTGCAAGAATTTGATAATTGCTTTTAGAGGGGTGTTTTTGCTTATTGTAAAGTAGAAGTATTCATTGGGGAGTTGGTTAGATTGCTTCAGCTGGTATGGCATTGAAATCAAAGTTAAAATTTTGTAAAGTGGTGGGTGGGCTTTCCTTGGTTACCAGATTTTGTTGCACAAGTGGTTTCTGTTAGTTGACTCTCACAAAAGGTCCATCCTGTTCTTACTGTTTCCCTTGTTCTTGTTAAAACCTGTTTCCCTTCTTTAATGAAGAAACACAGACCAGTATTAGTTTTCTGCGTTAGCCTGAAATGTCTGTTAGTTATTGAATTGGACACGGTGTGCCTTGGTGTTCCATAAACAATATCGAACTTGAGTTAGCTTGACTTGACCCCTCAATATATATATATATATAATATTAAGAGGCAGTGTTAACAATGTGCAACTCAATCAACAACTATGAGTTACAGTGTTTGCATGCAGATCAATCATTTTGCCCACTGCTCTGCTACTAAAATACCATAAGATATATAGGTCATATGATTGAATATTCAGCATTAATGTTTTCTAACCCTCAATAATAGAATATCCTTACATTTTATTGGACTTATTGAAGGAAACCCCATCTGAGTGATGCGTTGGGTCTCAATGAACAACTGAACATAATTCGTATTTGGTTTTCTTCATAATTAGTTCGTTCTCTGAAATAATGCTAATGGATGAAATCAATCAAAAGCTTCCCCCAATGGCAAGAAGTACTGGTGCCTTTTATGCTTCCTACCAAATCATAACAACTCCTCAAATTTTAAGAGTACATGGTGTTGTTTTAATCTCTTTGTCAATATTCTAAATTATGGGATTTCAGTTCTGTAATATTACCAGCATGTACTTTTTCAATTGTTTATCATCTGTTACTGTGTGCTAAATAGTTGAATTTATTACTTAATTTTTTTTGTGGTTGTGTGTTGGCAGGCTAGGCACTGGGATATTTTCTATAAGTTCTACAGGAACACAACTGATAACAAGTTCGTTCCATATTGTCAAGCCCTTTGCTTTTCCTAGTAAAAGAAAAGAAGAAAATTGAAAGGATTAGCTTGCTGTAATTTATTGTATTTCTGAAACACGCTAAATCATCTGATATGCTTAGAATTATCATATCTAAGTCATATTGCTGTTTTACCCGCAGGTGGGGTAGTGCTTATCTAACAAGAGATTTCTTTCATGACATGGGATCAAAATTGGGAGATAATGTACTACTTGTTGTTGCTGAAGAAGGCGATGAGCTAGTTGCTGGAGCTCTTAATCTTATCGGAGGAGATACATTGTTTGGGCGCATATGGGGATGTCTCCCTCGAGTTTATTATCCAAGTTTGCATTTTGAAGCCTGTTATTACCAGGTTTGCATTTGGATTGTTTGAGTTGATTAGTAGAAATGGATGCTATGGGTCAAGCAGACCACTCAATGATAGTACTGTGAACTGATTAATTTTGTTTTTTAGAGATTAAACAACTGCATGAATTTTTTACAAGTAGCATTCCCTTTGAAATCACTACCCGTGTCAATTTTAGAAAATATATCATGGCTCAGAGAACCTCTCCAATTGCATAAATATGATATAATTTTGGCTAATTTTGGGCCAGATTTTACTGCTTTTATCATGGTCTTCTGCACCTTCCATCACCAGTTTTGATTTTTGAATGACACAGGAAGATTTCTTTTGGAATTGTGGGGTTTTATTTAATTCCTACTGAGTAGTCCTTAAACCTAAAAAAGTTCTTAGGATATAACGACACTTTGTTGGTACTCTTACAAAAAGCAGGAATATCAGATGCTTGAGAAGGATACATGCCATTTGTCTAAGTTTTGTTTTGATATACAGGCAATAGAAGCAGCTATTGAACTTAATCTTGACAAGGTAGAGGCCGGAGCCCAGGGTGAGCATAAAATTCAGCGTGGTTATATGCCAGTGACAACTTATAGCTGTCATTACATTGTGAACGAAGGATTTAGGAAAATATTGGAGGACTTCTTGGTGCGAGAAACAGCACAGGTAATTAAATTATCTTACCGAACTTACATAGAACTTGCTGCATCATATTTCTGCAATGGAGTGCCACTGCGTCTTTTTTTACATTTTTCTTTTTTTGGTGGGAAATAATGCTTGCGTATGACATGAATAACTAGCAGCCGATCACTTCTTTTCCATCTTCTTGAGTGCATTAGGCTGTGTTTTTGCTCCCTTAGTTGTGGAAAAGAACGATGGCAAGTATAGATGCTAATTTATTAGCACTCCATTTAATCTTATATATAAATGCTTGGATATACTTAGAGGAGTTTAAGGTTGCTTAATTGAATTATATTCTGCCATTTGTTTAAGCCTGGTGTCAGATTTCCATTGGCTCATTAATTTGATATCTTTGATGACCCAAGTCTATGTTCTTTGTTACTTGCTAAAAAAAATCCATGTTCTTTGACTTGCCTTATAAGAAGCATAGACAGTTCTAAGAAGGTGACATGTCTTGTCAAACACCGAAACGACACCACTCAGCGGACACTTCCCAACATGAAACACATTACAAATTTGAATAAAATAATTTGGAATCCAATGATAAAACAAAACAATGTAAATTTATATATATTTTCCTCTTTTAGACTTCAAAAATATCTTTGACTTCAATATTCATATATACAACATATAATAATTATTTATTCTTATATATGACATAATAAATATATAAATTATATATTTTACATGTGTCCGTCACGTGTCATGACCTGCATATTTTGAAAATGTCCGTGTTGACGTGTCCATGTCGTGTCACATGACTATATATGTGCTTCTTAGCTTGACTTCGTAGACCCTTTCATTTATGTGTGAAACATAACTCTTGCCATCATCGTTCTCTGTTGGGCTTACCATCTCAATTGTATCCCTTTCTCTTTGACTTGTGGCGTAGTCCTTTGTTTCCTTAATTATGGCTACTTAGGATTTTCTCTTAATGCTGCTGGCCATTAACTTCACCAGCCGTATTTCTGATAACTTCAGTCTATGAATTTAACATTGAGTGATCATCATTTTGTTTTGGGAACTTCTGTCAGTTTGTGTCATCCCACAAGATTGCTAACACATTTTTCAGAATCTTATATCCAATTTTTGGTGAATTCTCCATGTCTTTCTTTATATGAACTGAATAACTGAACCAACATATACTAGCTATCCTGTAACTGCTTATTATCATTTTTTCATTACTAGGTTTACTGACCAAACTTCCATTTTGGATTTGTTACTCACTGCCCTAAAAACTCCATTTTGGTCAATTTTGCTGCTTTACTATATCCCCACTAATGATGTTGCATGAACTTGGGTACAATGTTAGTTGCAGTATGTCTTTGCTATATAATATATTAAATATCTGATTAGTACGATATGGAGGCACATTTGAAAGTGGCTACACCACATCACATGGCATGAAGTGGTTACTCCGCTTATCTGCAGCTTCAGAACTATTGTAAATTTTTTAAGCAACTATAGGAAATATTTTTCTGTCTTCCTCTGTTGGCACCAATCAAAAAGTTAAAGATACTCCTAAGCATTCCGAAATATTCTACTTTATTTCTTATTTTTTGTTTAGTGGAGAGGCTCAAATCCTAGCATCTGCTCCATAAAAACCCTAGGGATAACCACAGTTGAGGGGACTCCAAGTATTGATTCCCATGGAACACTATTTTGTATATTTATCTATTTATTTAATCAGAATCTTAATGTGCTTTTTCTTTTACAGGTTAAGCATGTTATAAAACTACTACATGATTCTGGTCCTTTTAAGGACGGCGCACAGTAGGAGCTGAACTACAGGGGGTCGCCTGGCATAATGAATCAAGGAATTAGGATATCATTGTTTGTGGTTAGAAGACTTGATAATCATCGACTTTATGACCAGTTGGACTGTTCCAAATGACAATTTGAGATTAAAGGGGTGCTGGTGGTCTTCGGTGGGACAGAAAAACAAGTGTTAAAAAAAACACCACTTCAAGCTCTTTTAAGGAGCTGACTATGGAACATTACATAACTGTGTATAGAAAAAGGAAGAAGATATAGCTGTACATATCCCTCCCCCTCTATTCACATTACACGGTAGAATTGCATTCAAGGCTTTTGTATATAATCATGATATGATGACATTAGACTGCAAAAGCACTTTATTTTAAAGATGACAATGAGTGATGCTATTTGCCCCTCCTTCGAACCCTAGGCGGGATTGCGAAGGAGGATGGAGAAAGAAAGGAGAAGAAGAAGAAGAAGAGGATGTGATTGCAAGGTGTGGTGACCACAATTGCGAGGTTGAAAAGGTTGCAGTAGTGGCAGGAAGGGACTAAAGGAGGAGGCTGTGAGAGGTAGGGGGTGAAGGGCAGGGAGGGTTGCTGGAGTTGGGGATGGAGGGGGGGAGGGTGCTGGCCAGAGCTGGTGATGGCTAGAGTTGGGGTAGGGTTGAGATTTGGGAGGTTAGGGATGGGGATAAAAATTGGTATTGGGATTTTATGAATAGATAAATTTGTAATAACAAAAAATATGGACGTATGGGGTCTAAAGAAAAATGGCTTTTACGGGATAAACCAAAAAGACTTTTTTCACTAATCTTTGTTTCTAGGCTTTTTGTCTCTTTCACCGCATTAACTTGAACAAGAGTAAAGATATGTTTAACTTAATAATGTATGCATTTTACCAGGCACACCTATGCAAGTGTAAAAAGGTAAAAAATTGGTTAATCCTGATATTATTATTTCATTTGGAATAAGTTACTCTAGAGACCGTACAATTTTATGGATATCTATGACATAACAATTTGATCCAAGTATCAAATTTAATTGTTCTCTGTTCCCTTATGTTCTTTCCCATTTCCAAATTTAAACTCATTACTCTTTGAGAAATTGCAAGTCTCTTTCTTAATAGGCCATAAAAAATAAATAAATAAAAAACCTTCATCATGATTTCAATAAGCTGCACAAGTAGTCTACTCCAATTGTAAAGAATAAACCGTAAATCCATAGTGACATAACAATTTTTACACAATTGATTTTAAATTTTACATTCATATATTACGCATTGAAAGAGAGAGATCTCCATTCAATTCAATTCCAACAAACCATGTAATGGAGAGAATCTAAATTTGCAAACAGAAATCCCAAGATATTTTCCACTCAAATCTCAGAATGTTAAAAGCATCCAAGAGGCTGCTGCTACATCAATTAAACCATTTACTTTTTTTGGGTAAGTAAATTAAACCATTTACTTGAAATGGCAAACACACAAGTACATTTTCAGACAAAAGATCAACCCATCATCATTGGCTACACAGACTAGAATGGAATATATATCACAGCCTAAATAATGCTTTTGTTTGGTTTGGTTTGCTTTCTTTTTGTCTGGAAAATGATGCAAAATCTTCACAATCAAATATAAAGAAGACATCACAGGGAAGCAAAAGACAAATCAAAACTCAGTTATTCATTCAGTAACCCAAAAAAATAAAATCAATTTTTTTTGTACGTAATTATGTTCATCACTACAGGAAAGAAAACAAAAAAAATTCTAATAATGTTTGGCAACCCCTCAAAAAGAAAAAGAGGAGATTATCATCATGAATACATAGGCAAGTACACCTCAAAAATCCAGCAAGCTGTGAACATGAGGAGAAAAAGAAAATAAAATAAAAATGAAACTACTATCTCTATCTACAGACACCACGCATATTTCCCAATTCTACAAAAGCTGCTACTATAAAAATATTATATAAATTTGAGCTCGACAAGAGCTCAAAATGGGGAGCAAGAGCAAACACTTGCCCAAACAAGAATAATGCATGAATCAATCCCCGTCACAAAACCCTATCTAATACTTGTATGAAGAACCTGGTGGTGCAGGAGGCAACCGGTTCGGGGTGCGGCGGCTGCCAGACCTTGAGCCTGAGCTTACGTCACCATTTTGGTCGGGATCACTGTACCGGCGACTGTGACCATTCGACCCAAACCTAGATGAGTCGGAGGGACCATTTGCTGCAGCATCAAATGCAGATCTCCAATCCTCACCGGGTCCACTGGTTCTTGGACTGCTTTCTGCAAAAATCAAAATACAAAATAGATAACAATTGAAAGTACAAGAAGTACAACACAGCATCCAATGAATGAAACAATATTTGTAGTAGTCTACTAAAGCATGTGTTTGGATCATGGATTTGTGGAGGGAAAAGAGCTGCTACCAAATTACTTTTCCAAGATCCAAACAGAGCCTTGTGAGAATGGCCAAACTTTTCCTAACCAACAAGATACTCCCATGGTTATCAGAATCCTGATCCGGATCTTACAATCCTACGATCTTACGATTCATTTGAATACAATCGATCCAGATCATGTAAAAAATTCTTTATAGGTAGGATCTTTCGATCCTGCTAATGGGATCTTTATAGGATCGTGGAATCCCGATCCGAATCCGATCCAATTTACAAAGCGCTTTGTTTTGTATTGTATAACATATTTTATTGTAAATTTTATGTTTGTTGTCTAAATACCAATTTATGTGATCAAAATAAATAATAAAAATTAAGTAGTATTGAATCAAATAGACTAAGAAAAACAAATTAGGAAACAAACATTTAAATATTGCAATAATTTAAGAAAATTAACTAGTCGGAAAAACAAACTTAACTTTAGTGGAGTCTAAAAAGGGTAAGATGATTGCAACTTTATCCCAATTTTTGGAGAGATTATTTTTGTGACTCGAATCCGTTCCACTAGGAATACTAACGACAAATCTTATCATTCGGTTAAACTGCTCTTTTGAGTTCTTAATCTATTTTCATATTCAACTTTGTTAAATATTTTTTCTTCACTTTTTATGCATTATTGTAGATTGTAAAGTATTTTGTTATAGAATTCTTCTTCTTCACCTTCTTTTTTGATGAAATACAAAACTTTTACCATCGAGTTTTCTATTGTATAATATTATATGTACATTTTACATGGAGTAAACTCAAATAGTCCACTAGAATAAAATTAGAAGACCCAAGTGTCTAATATAGGTACGAGGGTTGGACACATATTTGATATCTCATACCCTTGTCCCTGTCGTTTCATATCCGGTGAACAAAATTTATGGCACACAAGTATCAAAACTTTCCAAATAAGTAGCAATGCTATAAGGTAAGCATATCAGGAAAAAGAAATAGCAATTTTATCTATAGCTTTTGTCACCTGATCCACCACTATCCAGCATGCTGGAGGCTGCAGCTGCCCGATTGTCATGAATACTAAGTTGCCTGGTGAGCTTTGAAAGAAGAGAAGATTGTTTCTGACAACGCTCCCTCTTGCGCTTTACATTTTGGTCCTCCATCAGCAACTCTTCAATCCTTGCCATACTTTGAGAGCTATCCAATCCATGTATCAAATGAAGTCAAAATGTTTCAAGGGGAAAAAAAATTGATAGAAAGGCAGGGGACTTAGTTTGCATTGGATCCATATTTATGCATGATTCAATTAGTAGATGTTTCACATTAAACACAAACACAAAACAAGATTAATCAATATTGCTCGGTATTGCATTTGTGCAAGATGCAGTTTTTACTTTCTATTTTAACATACACTTCTTTTATTAAATCACAGAATATAAGAACAATCATCCAGAGTTCCATTTCCCACACATTTTCTGCCCGAGATACCAAAAAAATAAAAAAAAAATTACGTGAAACAAGCAATCTTTTTAAAATACATATACATATCTTTTTTTTGTAACAAAGAAAGATGTATACAAATCGTTTCCCTGCCCACAAGCCATGCCTCTCATTAGATTTCCACTAACACAACAAACATCAGGAAGAAAAAACTTGCATGGAGAAGTATATTAACCAAAGATATTCCACCACAGTCCAAAAAGTGCAAGAACAAAAAAATGGAATATCCTAAACATACATAAAATTCATACAAAAAACTTGACAAGAATGATGTAGCATTGCCATTATTGTAAATAAATCCATCTTCAATGGTGTTTTGTTTTGAAGTGAATTGTCCACAATGACCCACATCATTATGTATGAATTTTTTGTTTGTATAGCATTACTCTAAAAAAAATATATATCAATGCCACTAACCTGACTGAACTGTACAACTTATTAAGCATGTCTTCCTTGGCTTTCTCCACTTGGCAAAGAACCACTGCCTGCACAGCCAGAATAGGTAATAAAATATAATATAATGTAAAACTTAAAAGACCTAGAAATAAATGTGGCTTTGAAAAAATAAAACTGACTTTTGGGACATTGGCAGCAAGGCTGTTCAGAACAGCTTCAACATATCCGCGTACTTCTTGGGCCATCCATCTAAGTTCCTCCTCTGGATCAGCAGGTCTCCTGGCCATTGTGTCCTAAATTGTGCAAGTAGGCTAACAGTTTAGACACTTGGTAAAGAAGAATTTGACAATACCAGAAAAGATTGCCTACAACTGAAAAATGATTACAAACTTCAAAAATTGAAGTTTCAGCCAACTTTCAAAATTTGATAGGGAACTCTTTCCTTACTAACTGAAAATGCAAACTTGCATACAGACAAAATACATCAGTCCATAGGGAAGACAACTCTAGAGCAACTTGTAGAGAAAAGACAACAATTACAGAGTCTGTGGTGGGTTAAAGAGTTTGCACAAAAACAAAACAAGCATAAAAAATTAACTCACAAGAGAACCATCAGAAAGACTTTGCCGCATTGAAATACCAGGTTCACCACCCTTCAGTTGACCTCCTTGAGAAGGAGGCACCACTTTTCCTAACTTGCTTAACCACTCAACCTTATCTGCCATACTCTCAGCTTTTAACAAAACAGCGCTGTGAGCTGCAAGATCATGGAATTATTAATGCGTATTGGCATGTACCTCAACAGGAGAAAGGAAACAAAAGGTAACCCAAAATCAAGACAATTCTTTAAAATAAATATGAATAATCTACCTTTAAGAACAGTCTTGTATTCAACCTTGCTTGTAATCTTGAATACAAGACTGGGTGCTTTCCCTGAATCCGGTCCATTCGACTTTTTGTCCTTGGAACTTTTGTCCTTAGAACTTTTTGGAGGGGGGGCTTCTTCTTCATCAGACACTTCTTCAATATTACATTCCTGAGCAATAATACATCCAAGATAAATACTTAATGCAGTCACTTTTAAACTACAGCCATTAATTTCAAACTCAATAGCAAAGTTGAATAACAACTCATTTCCCCAAAATAAAATATATAACAGGAGTACACAAGTTGATTGGCTTACATGAGATGGGATTCATTATATACCTTCTAGAACATGCAGAGGCATTTTCAATCTGATATAATTGGCTTCTTGTTGAGTTTTAAGTTATATAACTGTTGGCTATCTAATAATCAAAATATATAGGCAGAGACTGCTAAATTTTCCAAATACTGTAACATACATAAATGTACATATATCTCCCTTTGTGCACCAATCTTTTTCATTCTGTTACTTAGTATGTAATGAATTTTTCTTATAAAAAAAATCATAAAGAAAAAGTGAATGATTTTTTTGGCAACGTTACCTACCAAATAAAAGGCCTGCTAGGTAATCCAAATCGCTCAGGTCAGTGAGGACTCACCTACTCCTTATCTATCTAATAGTTTCTTCAATATACTGAATTCAAAAGGCAACCCACCGGACCAGGCTATAAGATAAGATACAGCTCTTCTTGTACTACTTGATTGGTAAGAAAGAGCTTCCGTAGGAACTGGAAGACTCGTGTATGTACAGTAACCCTCTCTTCTGCTACTGGTAAACTGTTGCACAGAAAGGCCAGCAGATTCTGCTACTGAACAAATGATTTCGTCAAATTTTTGCCCCCTAGCAGCCCCCAAGGCACTTATAACACTTATAAATTGAACTACCAATTTTAGATGGTGGCATGTAAGATGGCATTACATGCCACCATCTGCCAGTATTCTTCCTAAAAGCTCCAATAAATGTCTCTTGGGAAGCCTAGAGAACAACGATAAGCCAAACACCACTAGTGATACAATCTGAATTAGGCAATCAAAATAAAAATCTTCTTTCATTCTGAACCAACAAAAATGAGATCGTCATCTGGTAAATGCCTCCAGAGCTAGGGTGAACAAATGACCTGACACCCAAGGGCGCCTTAAGCCCCAGTGATGCCTTTTCTGTTAAAGTTAACATTATCCATTAGCCTTTTTCATTTTTTTATTTTATTTTATTTAAATATAGCAAATGCCTTCACTTTTTTTAAAAGACATTCCATAGCTTATGCGGCAAATATATAGTTGAGCAAAAATGATGATACAATATCACTCGTCAAAATATATATATATATAATGTGATGAGCCTGATGACTATGACCAGTTCTAAAATTTTGCTATGGACAAGCATATGGATGCACCTAGATTTCACAACAATCAAGCATATGTAAAGCCTATAAGCTGATGTAGTAAATGACCAAGACAAAATTAAGCAAATGAAAATCGAATTCATTACATGGCATAGATATTATTCTGGTACCTACAAGTTTTTGACAGAACTTTTAAAATCCAAAGTAACAAAAGGAAAACATATCGAGTTCCAACTTCAAACATTATTGACAGGGTTCGAAAGGTGATGCATATTTGTAATTAGTTCGAAACTTAGCAGAAAAATAAAACTCAAAAGAGATAATGGAAACATCCTTGAATCTACCATCAAGTACAAGAAGTATACAACTAAATGCTAGTCCGATATGAAATTATTCACAAATACTCGATACCTCCAAGGTGATGACGCCATGAAAGTGTCTTTCTTCCTGCTTTTTGGTGTATCCAAGCTGTAAAATGTAAGTTGATATCAGAACAATGATGCTATGATAAATGGCATACATAGCACCCAAATTGATCAGATGCTAAAACAATAGACTATAATTTTGACAAAATGTGCATTAACTACCATTTTCAGAGTTTGGATAACCATAACAGCATTAGCACAACAGTATCTAAAACATGCTGTTTTGTGTAGGTACTTACCATAGACATAAAGCTACAGAGACTTGCAATAATGTTCTAAATGGATATTAAGTGTTTCTATGTGTTTTTTTTTTTGTTGATAAATGTGTTTCTATGTGATATATAAGAAAAAAGTAGATTTGACGCATCCAAAAATAGAAAATTTAAGCAGTGTACTTAAAGAGAAAAGAAAAGAACCAAAAAAAGGGGGGGAAATTGAAACAGCACCAGACATTCTAGCATCTCAAATCAATCCAAGTACGTTATGTTGAAGAGGTTCAAGTACATCATTGATCTCACATTAGATTAGCTAAACTACTATTTTATTAAGTACTAACCTTTCCAGTTTTCTCATTTAAAACAAACCATCGTCTACTCCATCCACTCTTTTTTACGCTTTTCTTCAATAGGAAACCTGTATTTACAGAGAAAAACGCAAAGATAAATAGAAAATAAGCCCATTCAACATGTTCTTGAAACTGAATAAAGGAAGATTAGCAATCAAATTTCTTCTTCAAAACTAAAGAGCTTCCAAGTTGCCCTGAAAAAGTGTTTACCAACATTGAAGCTAAATAAGAAAGGGAACCAAATAAATATAGGTAGTATGGATGTCATCTTCTCAGTTCACATTTATCCAGAACCATATTGTATTTTAAACTTCAATTTTGAAGCTTAAACAGTTTTAGACTTGGTTCCAAACCAACATAACTAGAAACAAACCAATAAAGACCCAATCATCATTAGGTCAGCATTGAGTATCCAACAAGATGGATATACACATCTTATTCTCTATGAAGATATATGAAGTTAGACAACAAAGGAGAACAAAACATCCATGGGTATAATTTTCAACTGAACCACATTAGACGCTAATGAGTGCATGTAGATGTAGTATACTGACTAAATGAGGTCCACTTGACATTTCATATTTGAAAGGATAATTCTTTCGTTTATTTTTTCATTTATTTGCTTTTGTTTTATGTTAATTAGGTACATGAAAGGTAGTAAAATGGTTCATATCCAGTACCTTATTCTTATCAATTCCTTTATTTGACTACCTAAAATCAATAGCAATTATTGTTACTGAACTTTAAGAATTTAATTACTCCAAACTTGATATCAATGTTAATCAAAGAATTCTATATAAAAAATCTTAAATCGTCAAGCAATAAAGTTAAAAATTAATAAGTACATAATCAATTGTCTATAAATGTTAATAAGTGATTTTAGCCATTAGCTTACCAAAAGAAAAGTAAGACACTTGTACACATAAGTATCAACATTTGATCCTTAAACAACAGCTGACACCAATACAATTTATATTAACTTTAAAATCATTTGGATCAATGCTATGCTACAAAGATGTAGCAAAAATTACAAGCATCAAACCAGACAGCAAGCATATCAAAGTAAAAATCAGAAGAATGGGGTACTAAGCAAAACTAATCAAATCAAACCAATACGAATGCCAAAAGATGATTTAATACTAGTTGAGTAACAAAAACCTCCATCACAACTATTTCAGAACATTTAGCTCTTTCAGTGATCTTTACATGATTGGGAGGTTGAGATGGTCCTGGAGGTTTTTTTAAGCCTTGTGCAGGGTCAAGCACATGTGAGGGAAGGAAGACGATCTAACGCACCACCACCACCAGGGGTTAAATCATACCATAAGAAGTTGATTGACAACACACAAGAAGCTTTCCCCAAGAAAGGCATGTAACTAAGGCTCCTTTTAGGTGGCTTTCTTTGGGCAACTAGAATCACAAGGCATGACAATAACCTGTAATTTGATTTAACGCATGTAAATACTACCTAATTTGTTGCATGTGAAAGAAAAGGAATTGGTGAACTGCCTACTCATTTGTTGTAATTTGTTGCTTTTTCATATTTGGTGTGGTGTTTGTGAGCATAAAGGAACTGTCAATCTTTATAATGAATTGAGGCTATAGTGCCTCAAGTGACGAGCATACTTCTAAGTCTCTTTGTACAGCTGGGCCACAAAAAAGGATTAACCCTTCATTGAACTCCCTTGGGATCTTGCTGATGCACAGGAAATATTAATTTAATGTATAGGGGTATAGTTATAGTGTGGTTTTCTCATTGTATACAAGCTTCTTTTTTTTTTATATATATAATAAAATTTAAATCTACTTAACAAGAAATAGTTAACAAGCTTATTCTGTTTGGTCAAAATAGAAAAATCTAGATGAACACTTATTCTGTGAATTCGAAAGATAGAGAGAACAGCTGTATAACTGCATATGTCAATAGATGCTCTAGAGCACTATTAATAGAACTAAATTTGTCACCTGTGCTTAATATCATGCTTCAAAGAATAATATCACTAAACATGAAAATCAAACTTTAATCAGAAGTGTGGCTCTATATACATCTGAAAAAAATGCACATTCAAAACCAGTAGCAAAACTATAAACACAATAGCTCGAAGGAAATGTTTCACAAACATAATTTTTTGTACAAAAATTCAATCTAGAATGATGAAACAGTAGTATTTTTACAATTATGAGCCGTAAATTCAATCTAGAAGGTGTTTTTGGTTTGAAATGGAAGAGCCACAAATTGCCAACATCATTTTGTATAAAATTTTTGTTTGTGTAGGTATTATCAACTCAAAATAGCTTAGTCATCCCAAACACAGAAAATTACCACTTGGTAGCATGATTAATACCACTCCAATGTTACAGACAAAATAGAATAGTTTAAAAATGAAACTTTTCACCCTAAAACTCATGCAGTGCTGAAGCCATACAACTCTTATAAGCTATAATCAAAAGACGGCAAAAAATCATCATAAATGAGACCAACAAATATTATGAACAAAAAGGTAATGCACGAACCTGCCGTTATCTCCCCATCAGGCCCTGCCGTCTTCAATCCTGACCCCTCTTGAACATCCTTATCTTGCTGGCCAGGTTTCTCCTTCATTGATTTTAAGCTCCCCCCAGTTTGCTGGCCTCCTGTTTGAGGGCTGGTGGCCTAAAATGAAACACGGAAGACAATTAGAAAAAATAGGGACTAGGAAGCAAGGAGATTCCAACACCGAAATGCAGTAAATTATGAACACTTTATATAAAATGGGATGAACTCGAGCATCAAAATATTTGTATATCAGGAAAAAGCGGACAAACCCTATTTAGTATGGATTGCTCTGCGTCGACTCCCTTTTTAGAAGATCGGTTCTTTAGCTCATCCTCTCGCCGCTGCCTATCCATCCTGCCAAGAATAAAACAAGAATTGATTGGATTGACATTGAAGAAACCATAGAATGATTACTAAACATCTAACCCCCCAGATATCAAGACATGCCAGACAAAATGATTATCAAAAAATACTGCAATGCATAAGTTATAACCTATGGTGTTAAGCCAATGGCCAGAGCTCTTGCACCTCACTAGGAGGTCAAGAGTTCGATTCCTTCCACCTTTGTGTGTGTCTCTTATTTCCTTTGTAATGTTTGGGGTCTCTCTCTCCTTGGGAGTTTATATGTAATTGTGATCTTAAATTGTTGATTCATTTTATTTCATTCATTATGATGCATTATCTATACTACTAATATGTGAAGGGTGCTGGTGGTGGACACAAATGTGTCTCATATTTTGAGTTTTCCCAAATTACCCCTATAATAGTTATTTAAAACAAAAAATTACTTAATGAAGTGAATAGGACTTGAACCCATGACATTGAATTTGAGAAACAACAACTACTTTACCGCTTCAACAATACACAACATATATTCTTAAATCAAAATTAAAATTTATATTTTACAGATCTAATAGCATACCCATCGGGTGGGCACACACCCACACTAGTAATAACTATTAAAAAAAAAGGCAACAATGCAGAACTACACTCCAATTATTGACACAGATAGAAATGTGTATTCTTAAACCAATAGCATACCCATCGGGTGGGCGCATACCCACTAGTAATAACTATTAAAAAAAAAGACAACAATGCAGAACTACACTGCAATTATTGACACAGATAGAAATGTACAGGATGGAAGGCATTAAGTATTCTACAGTTGCAGTTTACTATCAGTTGTTTCCAGAAGTTTAAAGTGATTTCTGAAGAAATAGGGTCAAAACTACAATATCCTACTATGTCCTGGTTTTCACCATTTTAAAGTGTTCAACTGACAAATGATCCAACCATCCAAGAAGATCATGTTGTAGTCTCAAAGCCAAAAAGGCTTTTTCCCTCCACGCACCATTTGACCAAAACCACGACAAACATTAATCATTGCATGGATGTACTCTTGAGCACTCAGAAAGCTCCAAAAACCTATTATTATGACTGTATATTAATGACTTTTAGCAGCCATGTGAGGTCAAAAGGACAGTCAGTCAGAGAAAAAGGCCAACACCTTCCCAACTTAGACCACCTAATAACACACGATCTAAAGCATTAAATCAGTCAAAAAAATCAATTTCAATGTATCATGTACACACATCAGATCTGGAATCCATGGTGGGTCAAGCTGACAATGAAGGGAAGACACGGACAAATGATGAAACATAACATGAGGTGGACACAATGAACATCCAATCCTTTAAAACATAAAGAAAAAAGGCATTTCGCATAAGATCAGCATGACTAAGGTTTGATGGGAAAATGAGAAAAACAAATGTGCATTAATGAGAAAGTAAAAAAAGAATTACATTAATTCTATTAGCAAATAAAGTTAATAGTAGTGTCTTTCTACAAAGGCTTGATTGTTAGGGAAACAAACTGGCCAAGTAACAATAAGGAAAGAAGAGTTGGGCCCTTCTACAAAAGCAATAGTGTCAAACAAAAGGGGGCTTCAATCAAAATCTTCACTTATGAAAAATATTGGCAAGCCATTTCGTCTCCTATTCTTTTCTTAATCCCCAACTTTCAAGAAACAAAGAAGAAGAACAAGACCGACAAATAACAAACTCAAAGTGTACTAAAATGCCAATGATTTGTCTAGTTCATGCCTACAATAAAGAAACTCAAATATAAACTTGTGCCATGGATAAGGTGTGTACCAGACATTTCTGGCCATGTCCATCATCCATCTCTCACACTGCAATAATTTCTTTACGCTAGTGCATGCGCCCCATGGCAAAGCATAGCAAAGATGGGATTCGGATGTCTCATCCATCGTAACAATAAAAATAATATATCTTCTCAACTAATTTACTTGAAACATTCTCACATCAATACAAACCTTTCCACATTACAATGATAATCAATAAACACACAAATTGTTCATCTATTCTTTGAATAATATACAGTTTTTGAAATTCTTCAAGCCTCTATAAAGTTTGCAGAGCAACAAAACTTAACGTTACAATGAACTAAAAGATTGTGCTATAGAGCCTACATATATTTCTGGAAATAATTTACATTGTAATGACCACACACCACCTAGAAATCACAATCAATTTGTTTAAAACAATATCCAATTGTAGTGAAACAGAATGATGACAAGACAACAAGAACTGCACTAAAAGGAGTAACATTGTCGCAACAATATACTAAAACATTCACAAGAACACTATGTAGATCTAAAGATATTAACAAAGACATCACATGATCATTGTCTGAGTATTGAGCATACCGTCTCTGCACCAACCGGATGAAATGTTGCGGAGGAACAAATGCACGCTCCATATCAACAAGGGCGACCACCATATTCTTTGCTTCATTCTTAAACCCATCCAATGCAGCACTTGCAATTGCCACAACCTATTTAAATGATTAAGTATTGATTATTTCTAGAAGAATAAATTTTATGCATCTACCCAGAAAAACTACAAAAATGGAATGCAGCACGACATAATTACCTCTCTCTTAAAAGGAGGATATCTTCCAAGACCTGGTGTGCCATTTGCAGCTGCTGAAACTATATCCACGAGTACACGGTGCACCTAATTTTACAATAACTTAAAAAATTGGCTCACAGTATGAAGGAAAACACAGAAAGGAAAGAACAGCGTATTTGCATTCTCTTCATCAGATAGCTTTGCAGGTGTAGGCAGGATATTCACAAAATAAAACATTAAAGGGATAACAGTTTAACGAAAAATATAACGCAAATGCCACAGGTTTGCTAAGCCAGCAAGTGCCTGAAGATTTAATCAAACCATTTCTGCAATGAGGGCAATTTAGCCACAAAAAAAAAAAAAAAATCAAACTGAGATAAGGAAAAAACCACAGTACTCCTGCCAATAATAAAACAACAAATCACAACAATTCTGACCAAAAGATTACACAGATATGGGATTCTAAAATCAGAACTCAATAGGAACTCCCGAATTGTAACAGTGTCTCATGCATATTTACATATACCCACAATGCATATGCTGTTTCTACACAACAACTGAACATACTAATGCTCTCAGGCTATACCAGAAATTATAATCTATGTCAAAGAAAATACATAGAGAATCTTGTAAACTTGATGAATCCACAATGTATGTGATTTCGCCATGAACTTCACATACAAGTTTGCATTAACCATTATAACAAATTTAGGATTCAGCAATTATACAGTTGTGAAATAATTTTTAATTCGAATAGTTCAGGAGAAATTTAAGATACAATTTCGAACAACGATGAAAGATATACTTAGAAATTTAAGTTTGTCTTGGTATTTTCATTGGAAAAATCCATAAATTATTCATATTATTTTGGGGAATATGCAGAATAGATAGGGGGTTTGTTCATCAATGAAAATACCAAGACAAATTAGGGTGATTTTTTTTTTTTTTTTAGAAGAAGAGAATTTGTTACAATGGCATTAATAGCAGAAAAACAATACATACAATATTCTCAAAGCCAAAAACACTTTCCCCCAGCATTTGTTCATCCCTTCAGTTCCCAAATGCAAAAAAGGTTAGGCAAAATTCTTCAATAATAGAACTTGAGTCCTTTCAGTAAGGAAAACAAAAAGGACAAAAAGGTTTTAGTCTTACCCTTAAACTGAAAAGAAGTCTCAGCTTATCATGCTTTAGATTTGGTCAACCCAAGGCGAACATTTCTGACGCAATGGATCTGGAAAGCCCCAATCATAAATATTTGCTAGCTAATGTAGAGGAGCCAGAAATCTTAAATTGATCACAAACAGTAAACTACGATATTGTTGGCTATAATCATGATGATAAATTGGTGAAGGAACAAAATCTTGGACTTCAGTGAATTCAGGTACCAAGAAATTAGTTCTCTGGTAGCATAGACTAAAGCAACGTTTGGGATGTAATCTTTTTAGCCTAAAACCCAAAAAGTCACTAAAAAAATTAAAAACCTATACCAAAAAGTCAAAAATTCTTTTTTTTCTCTACTTTTTGCACATCTTTTCGTAAAAAACCAAAAAGTCATCCCCAACATATTAATTTTTTTATATCATATTTTAGCCAAGCCAAATCAAACCAAGTCTTAAGTCTCATCAAATGGAGTCGACTACATGAATCTTTCTTCTTTACGCGGCCCTATCAAAGGTCATTTCATTAGTAAAATTAAGTAGATCCATATCTCTATTTACAACGCTAGCCAACGTTAATCTAGGCCAACCCTGTCCCTTAATACTTCAATCTACCGTTACAGTATCGCATCTCTTCACTACTGCCTCTGTTGGTCTCCATTGAATATGACCAAACCATCTAAATCGATTTTCTCTCAAATTATCTTCTATTGGTGCTATTCCTATCCATTCCCGAATACACTCATTCCTAATTCTATCTTGTCTAGTCTTACCACACATCTACCTTAGCATCCTCATCTCAGCCATACTCATCTTATCTACATGTTGTTTTTTGGTTGTCTAACACTCCGTTCCATACAACATTGCTGGTCTAATAGCCGTTCTATAAAATTTATCTTTTAGTCTAGTAGGTATTCGTTTATTGCACAATGCCCCAGACGCATCCGCATCAATCTCCCCTGCTGTTGTGATAATCGACCCTAAATAACGAAAATGTTCACTCTTAGGCAGTTCTTGGTTCTCAATCTTCACTTCTCCTCTACTTTCATTGTTATTATTACTAAATTTACACTCCATATACTCTGTCTTCGTTCTGCTTATCCGAAATCCCTTAGATTCAATAGCTTTTCTCCAAATCTCAAACTTTGTGTTAACTCCTCTTGTCTCATCCACTAGCACGATATCGTCTACAAAAAGCATACACCATGACACGCTATCCTGAATATTTCTTGTCAACTAATCCATAACTAATGCAAAAAGATAAGGACTTTAGGTAGATCCTTGGTGTAACCCTACAGTGATAGGAAATTCATTTGTCTCTCCAGCAGGCGATCTAATAGTGGTCACCACCCCTTTCATATATATCCCTAATCACATCAAAATAACCTTTTGTCACCCCTTTCTTTTCTAACACCTACCATACTATATCCCAGGACACTCTATCATATGTTTTCTTAGATCGATAAACACCATATGAATGCCTATTTTCTTTTCTCTATATTTTTCTATTACTCTCCTCAAAAGATAGATCACTTCCATTGTTGACCTGCCAGGCATAAACCCAAATTGATTCCCTGACACCTCTGTTATATCTCGCAATCGACGTTCTATCACCCTCTCTCACACTTTCATTATATGACAGATTAACTTGATTCCTCTATAGTTGTTGCAATTCTGGACATCACCTTTATTCTTATAGATTGACACTAAAATACTCTTCCTCCACTCATCTGGCATGTTCTCCACTCATCTGGCATATTCCTAGTCAACAAAATTATATCATATTTTAGCCAAAAAATTACTAAAAAAACATGTTCCCAAATGAGGCCTAAATCACAAAACAATTTAAGTTCCTTTCGAATAACATGCCACATTCGAAATTGAAGGAGCTGTGGCTTGAAAAGAATTGTGAATTTTAACCATAAATTCTCCAAGATTGATTGGATTATCAATGTATTTATAGATAGTTAAAAGTTTCGTCCACAACTTACTCACCAAAGCTAAGGTAATTCATGATAGTTATGGTGGCGGTGGTGGTGATGATAAGGACTTTGAATTGCCTTGTGATCATCTCCATAGGCACAACTATCAACAATTTCTAAAATCCAATGACTATTATACATGATTCAGGTCTAATTAACTTCAATCTTAAGTGGTCCTTTATAAGATTTACACCATCTTCAAGGGGTTCCACCCACATCTTTAGGAATGTAATATGGCAGGGTAAAAAATGGAGAATAAATTGTCAGTGCTACTGCTGAGTGGAAAAGAAAATTTTCTTAATGAGGCAGATATTCTGCAGCCCATTAGATCTCAGATTGGGCAAGCTTCAAACTAACTTTTGTGCCTCTATGGTTTTTTCAAACCCCATTTAACTGAAGTACCCCTTCCCTGTATATTGTTGAAGTGATAGGGATCAATACCAAAACTCCAGGGGCCCAGGCCACCTAAGGTCCTTCTGACAAAATGTGAACACAAATGAATAGTTTAATCAGATAAAAATAATCAAGATGGGCTGCAGATATTTTAAAAAGAAAAAAATTCATCAACCAAGTGACCAGTTCCAGTCAAATGTACATAGTTCATGATGCAACTTGCTTAAGAATAATATCTCAGTGCACTTTATTCTTCTCCAGTCTATCATCAACAAAAAGCCACAGCATCATATGGCTACAGTTGCTCTGGAACCAAAAAGGAGCTGGAGGGGAAGTGAGAAACACAAACATCCCAAGAAGAAATGGATGTTGGCAGCCACAAGTACAAAAAAGCACGTATGAAAAGGGTTGAAAACCAACCCAGGTTTTGTAAGTGGGAAACAAGTAGTGTAATAGAAAGAGTTGAAACTCTCCTGCATATCTCTGAACTGAGATTAGGAGTGGAGGACCTATCAAGATTCAAGAGAACTTAAAATCACATCAAAATCAATAGAGAAAAGCATATATGCATTTCATAGTTTACCTCATCAACACATAGGCGTGCAGGTTCTTTTGCCAGCTCTAGAACACCTTTAATTAAAGACCTCAAACCTTTCTCTGGGGATATAAGATAAGGTTGATAACCATCTGCTTCAAGAACAATCTGGAACCAACTTAAAAGGGTCATCAAAGCAGTAAATCACAACAAAATCACATATTGTAAACAAAAATGCAGATAATTAAAATTTAAATAGACGAGAATACATACCCGCTTGACATTGTTTAGGTCAAAATGTCTGTCTAAGGGGAGCTGCTTAATCCTGTTAGGGAAGTTGCCCTCAAAACTAGCAACAATTTTCCAACCGCTACCCTGCATAAAGTATTTATAACAGCAGCTAAGAAAGGGAAGAAAGCAAAATTGCATAAAGCATTCACAATGTTGCATAATCCTCAAAAGACATTTTACTAGTGCCACAAATTCATTGATGTCTGAACTCTTATGTATACAATTTTACCACTATGGCCATTTGTGCTTTGCGGGCAGGGTAGAACTAATTTATACTAGGATAAAATTATCCGACATTTGCTTCACATTTTGCGAACTGGGATCACTTATGACGGGCCCTTTTAGTCTGCCTATCTGGGATTATTTTGTCCCCAGGGAGTAAAACAACTTGTCCTAGGATAAGGCTTTTGTTGCAAAATTACTAGAATACCCACCTTGAGGTAACTTATCATGCCTGGCCTAAGGGGAAAATTTGTTACAATACTTTTGACCGTATAGTGAATAAACAAATCACTAAAACCAAAGTGATATAGAAGCACTCCTTTGGCTGTCTTCTATCACAAAGAACCATGTTAAGTACATAAATGCACAAATGAGGTTTTTCCCACCCTAAAATTCTCACCTCACCACTTGTAATATGTAGCAGAAATTTATCCTCAAATTCACGGCAAAGCTCCAATGCCAGAGCCCTTGTACCTTCAGCACTATTGACCATTTGTTCACCAAGCCTTACTAATTCATCTTGCACCACTTGAGACTTTCCCTGAAGCCTGCAATTGCAAAAGAATTTTACGGAATTAAAAGATTAATAAGGGCATTTAAAACTCAAGTATACAAGAAAAATGCATAATAACATTCGAGCTCATGGACAAACTCTACGCACAACATGAAATAGAAAAAATAAGGCTATTCTTCAAATTTACAGCCACAGAGAACAAAAGTAGGCCATGAAGGCACACAAATGCATTACTACATTATTATCGTGTTTCCTCTTTCTAACAGACAGCTAACTCAAATAACTAAAAAAGTTCTAGAAAACAAGCATTAGACTTCCCCCTTGACTGCTAACGCAGAACGTTGACAGAGGTGGTAAGGTCCTGGGTAAACCATGTCCTATTGGTAACTATGTTTTAGTTTTCAAACCATAACAGCAAATCACTGCTACTTAGGTCTGGAGCTGGGCCTCATTCTTAGGAAGACTCCTTTCTTTGAGGCCTTTAACCGAAAGCTGAGCCCTTTGTCAGGTTGATCCCCCGATTGTGGTCCATCCATTCAACTGAATCTCGTTCATGTATGGAAATAAGATCTACCTAAAGATATTGGAACTCATTTAGAGTAAGGAGTGTGAAAATTTACTTTTGTTCAAAATCCGGCAGTTCAGGGGATAACATTCTGGTGGCACAGCTTTGAGACATGGAAACAATCTATCCAAGAATGGGGATAAGGTTGCATACATCTTCTGCCCTCATACCCGCTTTAGTGGGAGACTCGTACACTACGTCAGTGTTTTTTTTTTTTTGGAAGAAAATCAGTTTACGATTCTGTTATGATAATCTAAAAGTTTTCTCAAGAAAAGAGAAGAAAAAGGGCAACAAAGAAATTTAGAGAAATAAAAATTGACATTTCAGTAATCAGTACTTTGCTGAACATGTATGCAGTAATGCAATACGCAGTAATGCAACATGCTACAGATCACATAACTAGTTTCTGCAACGTTGCTGATTAAGTCTTTTTTTCCTGACTATCAGAAAAGCAAATAGAATTTAACTTTTAAAAAAAATGTACACACAAATTACTGTTTTCCTTTGTATCTCATGTGATCTCTCAGTTTTGCATCCATGGAAAATACTATGTTAGTTTTCCTTTCTATCTATTTTCGAATTGAAATTAATTCCAAAATGGAAACCAAAGGTAGACACAACGAATTGAAATTACTTTCCACAATGGAAACCAAAGGTCAAGCAGTGGCTGAAAGAAGCAAGTACCCTGAGAGGAGATTCGGAAGCCTGACTTTCATGCGGTTACGAATTTGGTGGGCAAGGGTCTCTACCAAAGCTAATCTACCAAGCTTGCTTTGAGGGGCTCCTGTTAATATAGATTTTAGACTTTCACTCTCAGCTTGCCAAGCTGTTTCTAACGAGTTTTCAGACCCGACATTTCCTGACTGTGTAGAAGCTATAGCAACAGTTTGACCAATCAAAGCAACCCATGGGATATCAGATGTACTTCGTGGTCCCTGACCCAGTAGAAGAGCCTGAACAGCTGCAAGAACTTTTGGTTCTGTAGCTGCTTGATCTATTTTACTAATAACACCAATAGTCCTGGTACCTACAATGAACAGACAACTTGATTTAATTCTTCATAAAGAAAAGGGTGTAAAGAGATAAGACATGATAATACCAAGTCCAAAAGAAAAAATGACCAAAAAAAGTATTTAACCTTCCTTTTACAAGTACAACACAAGATACAGGGTCAACAGTAAACTCACTTTCTCCATCATATTCCTTTGCAATTCTGAGGCCCTTATATGAGGAAATTTCTGGTGCCAGGGCAGCAGGTATTACAACTAGCAATATTGCATCGTTGTGTTCTACATACACACTCTGTAGGAAAATAGGGATGTTAGATCACCTTCCAAGAAGAGGACTTCAGAAACTCAATTGGAAGTTATCTACCAAGAAAATACTGTATGCCCTTTTTATCAAAGACCAATTTGCAACTTGAGAGAATATGATAAGCAGCTACTCACCAATGAGTCATCAAAACTTCCTTTATCCACTCCAGGCAAATCAATCAATTTCAATGGTGGAGCTGCAAAACGAAACAACACAAATAAAGGAGTGAATTGGGAGTAGTCCTAGAATACAAAACAACAAATCCAATTCTTCAAACATGTTATGGCCCCTCTTATGGCAAACTATTCATCTTTAAAGTATCTCAGTTGTGATATTTTTCTTTGACAAACCAACAAGGATTTCCCACATCGAAACATGTCATAAGTGCTATAATTCCATCTATAGACTTAAAATCTTACAGCAGGAGGCACCACAAGATTCTAACAACCAGATGAAACCTGACAAACTGCTGTCAGTATTGTAATTGGTATTTAACAATAATCTTTTCCTAGTTGTTTCAGTTTTTTCTTTTCCAATGGATAACATAAATACTACATCAATTTCTCATTTGTTTCAAATTATCCAGCAAGGGCAGGTAGTCAAGAGTTTAGGCAGAAGCACATGTCTTACACAATTTTCCGCTCGCGAAGGAAATAGAATACTCAGATCACACTTGGATCAAGACTAACCTGTACTTGTGCGGAGTTTCAAATGTATTTCATCACGACTCTTGCCTGAACTTTTGCTTAGTCTATCCTGTAAAGAATGCCGTAGAGCACCTGCAATGGACCGAAAAGAGAATGACAAAGACAATCAGAGTAATCAAAAGAACAATTTACAAGGTTTAGTGCAATAAATTCATAAATATATATGTATGTATGTAACACAATGTATATGAAACTGCATTGTGGATTTAAAACAAATGGATTACAGTTTGACAAGAGGACTCACTTGCAGAAACCTGTTGGTTCTTACTGTCAATCTGCAAAATAATTGATTTGCTACTTAAAGAACTATCCCTTGCCAAATCAATGCATATGGGAGCACGGGTAGCACCACCTTCACCAGTTGGCTGCCAGAAAAAGGTCATGACAAAAGAACATAAACAAAATACTCTACAAAACTTACTTAGTATTTCCCAACTTACAGATACAAAGGAATGTTCTTTTTGCCAAAATTCATTCAATAAACATGAAAACTTCATAAAAAAATGCTAAGCCTTGCACTGGGGAAAAAAAATACCAGAAAGCAAAAGAACTTACCAGAGCAGGATGTCCAATTAGACTGTTCAACACAGCCGATTTACCCGCACCCTGACCAATTTGTCCAGTTAGAAATTAATTTCCATGGATAGTACAATAACCATAATAAGCATGCTCAACGAAAAAGAAGTAATAGTTACAAATAAGTCCTGCCATTATTCGAGCTTTGTAAATTTGGAACTACCAATAGTATAACAACTAATGATCTACATAACCAAGGTATATCAATCTTTATGAAACCAAGTCCCCTTCCCTTGTATTTGTTACTTGTAATCCGAAGAAAAAAAAAAAAAGGCTTCATATTTTCTATCAAGAGACTGGAACATAATTCAGCAGGTCTTCATCCAATAAGAGAAATGTGTTATTTTGGATTAAGTCCAGATCAGACTGATTGGAAATACAAAACATTGGTTTGAATATTATATACTTCCACTGACGCTCTCGTTCAAATTTCTATGAATTCTAATTACATAAAATAAAACTAGTATAGAATTGTACACAAATCTTTAATACCAAAATAAATTTAAATAGTACATAAATTATTAAATAGATAAAGGAAGTTCAAAAAAGCAATCACTATGCGTCCTCAAAAGCCCTAGCTCCAAAATTTTATGAATTCTAATTTCAGAAATTTTGAAACAGTTATATAGAAAAATAAAAAAAATCACTACCAAAATCTTTTCAAGTGGTAAAAAACTATTAAACTAGATGCTCCATTCATGAGTCATCAGAAGCATCATTTCGACAACTTTACCATAGGTTAAGCAGCGAAATATTAAAATATTGTCAGGAATAAATGAGAATTTTGAAGAAGCAAAGGTTGAATAAAAATAAGGATTTACGAAATTCTTCTTCACATACAACTCCGCCAATGACAAGTGCACCCCCTCTCCCATAAATTCCTAATCCAAATACACACTATCTCTAGATGAAAATATGTTTCACTAACAGCAAGATTTGTAACTTAAAAATAAAAGACAAAAGGAATTTCATCTGCAGAGAGTTATATTCTGAATTCCAGATCAACATAATTCTAATATCAGAATCCACTCAACTCTATTGGTTATGTAAGACTTTACATGTTCTTCCTCATGGAATTGGATCTAACATGAGTACTATGATTGAGATATTGCTAAGTAGACTTGCGTAGAGTTTCATAGTTCAATTGTATAATGAATGTATTGTGTTAATATCATAGACACCTTAAGCCTCTAAAACCTTCTAGACAAACTGCTCTGCCCATAGTAGTCCAATCAAAGTTTATATAGCTTTACACTTGTAATGGCTTCTACAAAATCCTTGAAAGGGTATATTCAAATGTCTAAGTGGCATGTGTAAGCTAGAGCAGCGAAGCCAATTAGTGCAATAAAACAAAAGAGTTGTATCAACAAACCAGAATTACCAGAGATTTCATAAACACTAGTTATACTCATTACAAAATTCACTTACACACATACATGTTACATTTTAATAAAACAGTAAAATAGAAATCTGAGCTCATGAAGCACAAGATAAAAATTAAAATTAAAGATAAAAAAAAACTTTATGCAATCCATCCAAACATTAGGAGGATATTTGAAATAGACTACATAGCAAGTAGTATGACTCTTAGATGTAGAACAAGGACAGTACAATTCACGCAATCTAACAACAAAGTGAACAGCAACATTAGCTAGTATACCAAATTACATTCATAATACTACTCAATTCATCGAATCAACAATACTTGAGGCACTACTACCAAAATGCTGAGAGAGCAATAATAACCAAAGATCATGAGACATCAAATAAGCAATTACACAATCAACACAACAAAAAAATGCCTGATTTGACTCGGTTCTCTCCTAACTAGTGTTCACCAAAAATCGATACACAATTCTCACTACATCTGACTCAGATGCACCTATTCAAATCAAAATCAGGACAAAAAATGCAGCTAGATCCAGAGATCTAATCAATAAACAAAAGCATCAAATTTCAACATGGATACAATATATCATTGATTCTGAAATCAATCAACTCACAGTATTGCCGAGAGCAACGACGTTGAGGAAAGTGGAAGGGCGGCGCGAGGACGATGAGTTTTCGTCCACATCTTCGTCGGCAAGCAAAGCAGATGCTTGGCGCATCGAATCGGCGAGCTGAGCCAATTCGTCGATCGCGTCCATTGACTCGATGAATCAAAGAACTCGATTCTAGAGAGAGAGAGATATGATCAGATCGAAGAAGGAGGAGGGATCGAGATGTAGAGAGAGAAAGAAACCCTAGGTTGATACAAAATGAAAATGATGATGATGGAGAGAGATCCACCGATGATATTTGTGTTGTTGAGTAGTCGACAGTAATTTATTGGATTTGAGAATTGTATCGTGTTGTACGTATGTATATATTTATAGGGAGGGTTCAAAAGTTGAACTTTTGAAATAAGGAGATAGGTGAACACGAGTGTGCGTGAGTGTGGAACAATAAAATTAAACCCAAATCTTCTCAATCTCTAGTGAAACTTGTTTGTTTTATTGGATTTTAGCCTTTTGATTGGGGCTTTAAAATTCAAAATTTTTGAAATCATACCCAAATCTTTTTGCTATTCAATAATTTATTTTTTACACATAATTGAAACACTTTTTTTACACCTATATATTTGAAAATTTCTATGGTATTTTTCAGTTATGAATTTTATGGTTGTTCGTGTTGGTTATGATTTTTTATATTTTTTTTGATATTTAGAACTTACATTTTGTTTGTTTTGTTTTTTAGGATTTTAGCATTTTGATTAGGATTTTAAAATTCAAAAATTTTGTAATCATACCCAAATCTTTTTGCTTTACAATAATTTACTTTTTTACACAAAGTTGAAACACCTATTTTACACAAATAAATATATTTGGAAAATTCTATGGTATTTTCCAGTTATGAATTTTATGATTATTGGTGTTGGTTAAGATTTTTTTTTTTGGGAATATCCTGTTAGTTATGACTTACGTTCCGTTTGTTTAGATAAAAAATATTTTTCTATATTTGGTGGTGGTGGTGGTAGTGGAACGAAAGTGGAGATGGAAATAGTAGTGGGGAGATAGCGGCGGTGATTACGCCAGTGATGGTCGTGGTGATGGTAATGTGGTGGTAGAGGTGAAAATAGTGGTGATATGGTGATGTTGGCAAAATTTTAGTCCGAAAAATATTTTTTACCTTTTAAAAATGAAAAAATATTTTTTACTTAAATAGTCTTATTTTTCATTGATCATGAAAAATATTTTTCGTTGTCTTTCATTTTTCATAGTACCAAACACCAAAAAAATATAAAAAATATTTTTCAAAAAATATTTTCTACTCAAACAAATAGAAACACATTGTGGGGTGTTTGGGAAGTAGCTATTTTTTTTGGTTTTTTGATTTTTTGGTTTTTTGACTATTTGGCTATTTTAGTTTTTATGTTTGGGAAGTTGGATTGAATTTTTTGGTTGATTATTATATTAAAAAATGTGTTTGAGGCTAAAATGACAAATTTGTCCATAACCTCACTTTTTTCAAAATTGGTCTAAAGGGGCAAAACTGTCATTTATCAACAATGGGATTGCCTGCCATTGTGACAGTGGTAGCCTGTCACTACACTGTACAGTGTAGACTGCCCCACTGCCGAGCTGCCTTTTTTTTTATTTTTAAAATCATTGGTTTAGGGTACTCTTTGAGGTTATTTGACTTTTTTAGTGTTTTAGGTTATTTTAACCTCAAACTTGGGTTTCTAAACACCCCCATTGTAGTATTAGTTAGCACTGATTATAATATTGATTATAATATTATTTTTGTTATGATTAAAAAATTGTTTGGTTATATTGGTTATAACATTATTTTCGTTATGATTCAAAAATTGTTTGATTATGTCTCATATGACATTAGATTATTACTCAAATTTTTTGGCTATGACTAAAGAGGATCTAATTATATGATGTACGCATAGCATGACCCGATATATGGTGTAGTTGATATTTATTTTGCATATGAGGTAAGTCACACTTGGATGAGTGTGTTATTATAGATTACAAATTTGATTTGAATTAAATTTTACTAGTTGTATCAACTAATATATGTCACCATGTGTTGGTTTATTTTGCTACTTCATTCTGAATTTTTCTCAGACTACAGGAGTTTGTATGTAATATCATGATAACTTGTGTTGTAATTGATTTATTCCACTTCATTATAATTGATATAGATTGTAATTTAAAATAATAATAATAAATTAAGATGAATCATGTGGGGATACATTGTTGGATTGTCCACGTGGCCTAAGTGATTAGCTAAGGTGTCACGTGAGTTGGTCTTGGATTGCCAAGATATGATACGATCATATCAGAGTCCAAGATATTTGGATAAGGAAGAAAAGTCCTAGTGATGTTGGACTGCTTGTTTGGGTAAGGATTGACTCTTAAAGGAGTTTGTTCTAATTTAAATAGGAGTCTTGATAAGTGATATGCCTGTAAGATGTAGTATTATGATGTAAGACTTCTTGAATATGAGGGCACTGTTCATTATAAAAAAAAAGGCACCCTCGTAGATCTAAGGTATGTTTTACTTTATGGGCTTTGTGATTGAGTTGTTGTAACGCCCTCAAAATAAACCCATAATATCATACAGTTAAGTTACGGGAAGGAGATATTATATTACAATCATCAGAGTATCTTTACAAAATGTATTACACGTTGACAACAAAAGTAACTGCCCTATAGGCTTACACCTTTCAAAGTCAACACTTGGATACAATAGAGAGTACTAACTCAAATGCATATTAAGCCATTGGCTTGAATTTACATGAAATACATCCAAAGAAAACAAAAAAAAAAAAAGTCTGTCTGCCTCTAGCCTCCCAAGCTATGTTCTTGGAGGTAGCATACCATCGGTACCTGAAAATGAAGTCCCATATAGGGTGAGCCACAGCCCAGTAGAAATACACTAAACCAACTATAAACAATGACTAAAATAACAGCATTCGATGGATGGTCCACACTTATATTTCCTCTTATAACACGTTACAGTTTCATGACATTTAAGTCTATATTACATTACATTTCCCATTTCTTTCTCAACTTTGAGTTTGAAAACAAGGCTTAGAACCTAGCCAAATAACTTAATGAGATTAAGACTCATCCTTAAAACACTTTCGAAATTCATGATGGATACACATTTTGGTGCTGTATCAATAACACATAGAAACCCTTCTATACTTCACAATTGATAACGATATACATGCTAGTGCTATATCAAATCAATTCAAACACTTCCATAATCCACACTTGATACACATTATAGTGCTGTATCAATGTCACACAAAATCCGGTTTAGAGGTCCATCTCCTATCTTCCCCTAAACCGTGAAGTGTATCCCCTATCTCCTCCCACACACAATGTATATAAACAATTATCATATACAAATTTAATCAATTAAGACAAATGATACACATTTTAGTACTATATCCATGTCAAACAAAACACTTTTATAATTCACAAATGATACACATGGTAGTGCTGTATCAATGTCAAACGATATCCGGTTTAGAGGTCCATCTCCCATCTTTCAATAAACCGTGGAGTACATCCTCCATCTCCTCCCACACAACACAATGTATATAAACAATTATCATATACAAGTTCAATTAATCAATACAAAATTTTGATGTATTATACCAACCACCATCCCGATAGCATACTCAATTGATTAGTTTTAATTTACCTAATCATCATGCATTGTCTACAACAATCAGGACTATCCTCCACCGATAGCCCAAAGCAGTTATTTCTAAACAGAAAATAAATGCACCAAATGGATAAAATATCAACATTTTGTCTAGGTGAGCGATAAATTAATCCAACTACACTCTTTGATCCCATACCTTTCCAATGTGAATGTTTCCTATTCAATTTCTCATTTCCCTAAATTAATTATACAAATTAATTTATCATAACAATTAGGACTTTTTCCCTTATTTACAATACCAACCCTAAGGTTCCATTTTCATCAATGATCCACATACAATTCCATCTTCTAACATATTCCATTCACATGGGTTTTAAACTTGAAAACCCCTCTTTTGAAAATTACACAAGGACCCCAAACTTTCGCAAAATTACCCGACAACCCCCAACATATCAAAATGCCAAAATTTAAAGACGAAGCTCATAAGATGGAGTAGGATATCCCTACCTCGAAGTTGGAGCTCAAACGAAGAAGAAGACCAAACTCAAAGTGCCCCAAACTCCAAACTTTTCGGATCAAAACGTAGCCCTCGACGATCAACACACTTTTTGTAAAGGGCAAAGGATAGGAGAACACTCCAACTAGATCAATCCTAAGAGAGAAGGGAGAACGTAGTGAGAGAAGCTCTCAAAAACGGATTTTCAGAAAAGTAAGAGAGAGAGTGGAAGTTGAAAAGTGATTCAAATGTGCCCAGCTGCCAACTGATATACGCATGATCCCCTCGAGCGGACAATAGAACGCCCGAGCGTTAAGCACAAAAATTGGACCCGCTCGAGCGTAAGAAGGCCAGCTCGAGCACCAAGACACAAGAATAAAGTACATCTGCTCGAGTGCGAAAACCAATTCGCTTGAGTGTAGATTCTCCTCTCCCAGTATTTTCACAAACAATGAACACTCCGCTCGAGCGCCAGAAGACCTGCTCGAGCGCGACCCGCTCGAGCGTAAGGAAACCTGCTCGAGCGTGAAAAACACATCTGCAGAAGTTTTGCAGAGGCACAGATACTGGAAGTGTGTAAACTCCGCTCGAGCGTGAAATGGCCCGCTTGAGCGTACTACCAAAACTCTGGGCAACAAGGAAAGGGACTAAGGCAAGACAAACAACCACCAGCTCCACTGAACCTAAGTCCAGAACACTGTACATAAAGGGGACAAACCCGGGATCGCTATAGTTGTTATCTTTGAGAGAGAAGTTTATTGACTCGATAGTCAAAGTACCCCTCAGTGGACGAGCCACTAGCATTTGTTGCTTTCTTGTGTGCAGGTATTGGGCTTCTTTATCCTGCTGTGTGCTCTTCAGCTTTATTCCTTGAATCTTGGCAACGAGACTCAATTTGGTTGTGAGGTCAAATTTAACACCCATAATTTGGCACTGTTTGTGGAAATTTAGTCGAAATAGATGGCTAATGTTACAGGCAATGGACTGAATCTGCAAGTCGGGGATGACTTGTATAGTAAGAAGGAGGAATACATCAATCTTGGTGTAGGAACTGGCTAGAATGGTGGAGAAAACCAAGAAGGAGATCCACAAGCGAACGATGCCACCAATGGCCGAAATCCAAGGGCGGAGTACAGCTTGAGGAGGGGTAATGGAAGGACACAACATCAGGGTCAAGATGAATATTACAACG